GGGGGTTGAACACCTTTCATTTCCATTTGAAAACAAATTTCTGCGTAGATGGTATTGAAAAACGTTGGTCAAAGGCACACAAATTGTAAATGTTCGGTTCCCAAGGATACTCAAGCTATGGAAGTCCTCGAATTTTGACGGCCATTTTCTCACTAATGTTACGGCTGATACCAGGTGATCCCTGCTTCCTTCTATTGCAATTATCTGGACTTTTATTTAAGATAGATGGATATTTTTTTCAACAGAGCAAGACAAATGAACAAGCTTTAAGATGATATCAATAATTCCATGTTTAAAAAAATTGATGTTCGCCAGAATCCACGGCGTCGTGACACATATTCCTATTGTAATTAATTATTTTCTTGGGGACCACATTTCTGTTTTTGATTTCTCTTTGGTGATTGGCCTACCAAAATGCATTAAAGTTTGTGTAACTTTTTCAGTACTCCTGCTTTAGGTTGTGGTTGCTGTTTTGTTCTTGGCGAATAATTCATTTAGGACATTCTTTTTCTTCTCTATCCATAACATTGCAAAGTCTCTTTTTTACTTTTCATGTGTACTAGGTTTGCATGCACTGCTTATATAATTTGCGTGTAGTGTTGGCATGGAAGCTTTTTGATTCCTCAGTTTAGCCGTCTGTTCACCATTGTGACTTTTTTTTTCATTCTTTAAAATCACAGCGTTTGTCCTAGATTTCCAGTGCATGGTTTCTTTGTATAACTTTCCTCTGGGAGTGCTAGTAAAGGTGTTTTTGTTTTTTTCTCAAATACCATAAACATCACTGTACCTGTTGTCTTGCTTTTTAATGTTGGAAAGGGACCTTTAGTAAATGTTTTATGTTTTCATTCTAACTCCGCCTTTTGCAGCCTGATAAAGCTCCTCCAAATTCAACGAACTCAGATTCTCTCTTCGGTGACTTTGGTGGCAATGATCCTTTTGGATCAGATATTTTGTCATCCGCCTCAAACCAGCTGGATGATCCATTCGCCGGGGCAGGTTTGGATCCCATGGGTGACCCGTTTGCCAGTGTTTCTGGGACAGCAAGTTCCACAAATGATATGTTCAGTGCAGTTGCTTCACCTACAAGTCCCATGGATGACATGTTTGGCTCCACCACTGCGTCTGCCATAAGTCCGGTGGACAACTTATTTGCCAGTGCTGATCCTGCACCAACATCTTCCTCCTCATCAGCTTTTGGCTCGGATCTACTCTCAGGATTTGGTGACATGAGTGGTGCTTTTGGTTCAACTGGGAGTGCTTCCTTGAGCACGGAGACCAAACCCACTCAGTCTGTGTCATCTGCTATTCTGTCTGATGGATCTGACACCACTGTGTCTACCGCTACACCTATGTCAGAGAATGTGTCTAACTTGTTGAGCAATTTAACCTTGGCGAAGTCGGAAGAAAGCAGTGTTACTGCAGTCAAGTCAGAGAATCCTCCTGACATTTTAGGGACTACTGCATCTGGCACGGAACTGCCTGCTGAGGAAGGAGGTGGAGAGGATCGCTTTGCCGCTTTAAGTGGGCTGGATTGGGGAGACCTTGGAGTGGATAATAGTAATGATAAGCCTCAAGGAGGACTCTTGGATGCCATAGCACCTTCTCCAACCACTGCGGCATCAGGTGTCAAGAAAGACGAGGCCTCGGGTGGTGTTGATGCATTTAGTACCAGTGAAGATCTCTTCGGAGGAGGGGACCCATTTGGAAAAGGGGGCTCTGCTTTAAGTAATGATGATCCCTTTGGCAAAGAAATGACCACTGCTGTCCTTGAAGGTTTTGGAGCTACAGCAGAAAAGGAAAATGTTCATGATAATGCGCCGTCTGACAAGCCGGCTCCCGCTCCAGAAGGTTCAGATCCCTTTGCTGGCGTATTGTCAGCACCAGTCTCTCAGGGTGACCTAAAAGGTTCTGGTGTGCTTGGTGGTGTAGATTTTGGCCTGTTTGACGGTCTTGACCAAGGCACCAGCCAGGAGAAATCATCCTCTAAAAATGATGACCTGTTCTCTCTGGACCTAGTGGCTTCTCCGACAAGTGCCAAGCCTCCTCAAAGTACTTCCAGCCTCCCAGATCTGGTAGCTCTAGAGCAGGATGCCCTTCAGAACAACTCGCTGGAGATTAAACTCAAAGATGGGATCATCACTAAAGACAACCCAGCCCTCAGCTCTGCCGCTATGGAGTCGATGACCACACAAGTTGACTCAGGCATGGGTAGAACTAGAAGTGGGTCAAGGCGAGCCCCACCCCCACCAGTAGCCAGTGCCGGAACTGCTCCTTCTGCTCCGGACAAAAATGCTGGGGTATCTCTCAACGTTTCATAAGATTGCCACCCCCCTCTGCCCTGCCCACCTGCTACCCTCATTACAAGCCTTAAATGATTATTGATGTTGAATCCTTCCCCTGCACTTGTTGAACAGTGGGGAGAGAATGTGAAAAAAAAAATTGTCAATCGTACACTATAGGTACTTTAAATCTAACCCTGTTTCACTTGTTTTTTTGTGTGAATGTGTTTCTCCCTTCCCCTTATAAGAGCTTTCCTTTTGTTCCATTATGTATTTGAAGGTTAATATAGGACTTTTTAAATCAAGCCTTTGTGACACTTCTGTCATCAGCCTACATAGTAGGAAGATAGACCAGAAAGAAAAATGTTGATAGAAAGTTGAGGTCAGATTATACTGATGTAAAGACAATAGTTTACAGAGAAGGCACCGATACTGTATTGATTGGTTCTTTCTTCTTTTTTCCCAAGTTAACTTATTTCATTTAGTCCTGATTTTATTATTGTATATTGTATTAACTTACCCTTTTCCTTAGTCATTTGTACTTACCTCTCTTTGATTGTTTAGTCACTTAAATTTTAAATTATTTGTATTACAGGGTTGGTTGAAGAAGAAATCTTTCAAGTTATAATTTACACATACTGCACAATCTGACAGTCAATAACCTTCTTGCCTGAATCAGTTTATTCCTGTTTGTTCCCAAGATTACCCAGTTTTTCCGCGTTGCATATTTCGTCTCGTTTCTTCCCCCCCCCCCCCCCCCCTTCTTTTTTGTTGTTGGGTTGTTTTTTTAGGAGAGGAGGGGGGGGGGTTGTTCTGTCCTCTCATTTGTAGCATCTTGTCCCAAGTGAAACAGTTCTGCGGCGAATGTCAAGAATGAACTAAAACCAGAATTTTAAATTTTAGAGTTGTTCAATTTGGGGTCACGGGTTTCGAATCGCGCTAAATTATTTTGTTTCACTGCATGAAACTTTCCATGCTAGTCACGTTCAATTTTTTTTCTGCTTTGAGTAGCAGTCATGAAGATATTCTTCTCTGGATGACAAATGAATTATGGATAACTGTTATAGTATGTCCTTGTGGGGCTGATGAAGTCATTCTTTTTGTCATGAGTTTATCAGCGGTTTGTAGTCTTTCCTCCCTTCCCATTTTGAATTTGTCATTTGCTTGTTCTTTTTATGGCCCTGCTCTAGATGGTATGAAGTTTTACAGGTTAACTATGGTCTTTTCATTATATTATGTTTGAAGAGACACTACTTTTACAAGATTTTACTTTCGGTACCTGTTGCTATTTTATATCATAATGTCCAATGTCAATTGCTGCTTGGGTTTCACCTTTAAAGTTAATCTCTTTTTTGGGCATCATACATACCAGTAATGTAGGGGCTAGCATGAGGACAAAAAAAGTTGAAATATGAGACTGTACTACCAAAAACTTTACCTGATCAATGTAGCTGAATTTTTTAAAGACCTCTAGTTAACATCGATTTTTTTAAAATGCGTAATTGTCAAGAGTGGATAATCGTTTCTTCAGTATATAGATTTGGGGGGAGGGAGGGGGGAGTGTTATTCCTTTCTTTTGCCTTTTCAATAATAGTTTGCTTTGTATTTTCTTTTGTTGCAGCCCGAGCAGAAAAGCACCAAGAAACCAGGTAAGGACATGTTTCTTCTGTGTGCTCATAATTATGTTGTCATAGGAAACATCTTAAGCACACAGCACTTCCTTCACTTCATCTATCCTGTAGACTGGATGTCTGTCGGGCGCTTTTGAAGATTTGGCCACCAGCTTCTTCCACTCCTTCCAGTCTTCAGCTTTCCTGAGCATGTCTTTGAGTTCCAGGCCTGTCCATTCCTCTATGTTGTCCTCTGAACTCTTCTTCGGTCTGCCTCTGCTCCATTTTCCTTGGACACTGCCTTGCAGGATCATCTTGGCAAGGCTGGATGAACGGGTGATGTGTCCATATCATTGCAGTTTGCATTTCCTGACCAGAGTGAGAAGGTCAGCATAGGGTCCAATTTCATTTTTGATTCGTTGTTTGACTTCATCATTTGTGATTTTTCGGAAGCATCTCATCTCCACAGCTTTGATCCTTCTTTCAAGGTCCTGGTTTCACACGCATAAACTGTACTGATTTAGGAAAAATTTTATAGGGTCTCCATGATTTGTTGATTACGATGAACACCCCACAGTTGCTGTGGTGTAGACTATTTTGTTCTCTGAAATATAGAACATAATGTTATTGGTTTATCTAGGTGATGAAATTTTTTATTTGTTCATAGTATCCATTGTAGGGTTTTAATGAAAAATATGGAGCTTTTTTTTACTTCTTCCTTTCATGAAATACGATGATAATATTCAGAAGCAGCACCTTTTGCCCCCTGGCCTTGAGGTGGGACCTTGAAAATCCATGCTCAAATTTGTGGTTGATGCATTAGCACATTTTCAAATATGCTCACATCTATTGGTTGAGGTATACAATATGTAGACTGTAAAGATAGATATTTTCCTTTTTTTGTTCTTCGACAGAGATTGCTCGGGTAATAGCACCCTATGTGGCAACTGGCACAGGCCAGTTAAGTCTTGAGACTGGCAATTTGATCAACGTGCGTCAGAAAAGTCCTCGTGGCTGGTGGGAAGGTGAACTCCAGGTACAAAATATCATCTCGCAAACCCCGAGTAGCTTAGGTAGTTGGTACTTGTGTTACGCGCTATTTACTGATTGGCGCAATTGCGTGTTGTAACGATCGTATAATTGCGTGGCAATCTTTAGATAGCACTGCACGTTTTAACAATAGTATAATTGTATCATTCTTGTGGGCCCTTCAGTTTCATACGTTATTGTTAATTTTAATTTTCATATTTTTACACTTTTGAAAATATATGTGAATGTTCCTTGATGTGAAGCTCACGTGGCCTAGAGGTTAAGGTGTTGGCCTCTTATTCAAATGTCCTGGGTTCGAATCCAGGAAGCAACGGAAAATTTTCTTCTCTAATATTGTCTCTTTTCACCTCCTTTCCTGCTCTCTAGCAATGTTCTGTCATCTGCTTTGGTCTCCTCTTTCTGCCCCCACCCTCTTATCTCCTTTGCCCCCTTCTCTGGGCTTCTGACTCTTTCTGCAGCCTTTCTACTGCTACTCCTTGGCTCCTTCTTACTGTTGTCTTTCAGCCACACCCCTGATCTTCTGATAGGAAAGATCTACACCTAGCCTTCTCGGATAAGGGTGAAAAATCTTTGAGGGCCCATGTTTAAGTTGCGCACGTAAAAAATCCCTTGGTGGTCTAAAATCAGTAAGAGTAGGCTTCAGCCGCCACCCAGGCAAAATTCAAAATTTCCTACCAACTGAAAAAGTTTAATGTGTCTCGTGCGCTCATATGACCTTATGCATTTGCGAGCGCAGCAAAACACCAAATAAAAAACAAGTTCCTTGGTGTGAGTAAAAGAATTAAGATGGAAGTTAATTTTTTTTTTTTTAATTTCAAAAATATAAAGTATTAACGCAATCCTCAGATTGACGCACAATTATACAATCGTTAAAATGCGCAGTGCAATCTTAAGATTACTGCACAATTATGCGATCGTTAAAACGCACTGCGTCGATCAGTAAATTGCGTGGAACACTTGTACTGAATGTGTCCCCTGGTTTACTACTGAGGCAATGATCATATGTTGTTAGTTATTTGGCTTTGTGAGTTTTAAAAATCAATTTCAAGTTTCCAGGCTTGTGAACTTTTCTTTTCTTTTTTTTTTTGTTGTCTTGTATAAAAGTGTCATGAACAGCTGTTTGTCCCCCATTTGCTTATTGTCTAGAGGAACAAGTGGACTACCTTGGTGATATTTTTGCTGTTTAAGTAGGTTACAGTTATAATGAGCAATTTCTGTTTTAAAAAATTCTGCATGATGACCATGTTCCTGACCAGAGGCTATGAGTGAGCTGCTTCAGCGGAATTATTTAGTTACTTTTGACCTTCACATAGTCTTTTCCGGGATGTGAGTAGAGCGTTTCATTAATTTGCAAAGAGAAAAAGCACCCACCTCAAAGGGTAGTAACAGCTATACAAAACAAATTATCAAAATATAAAATGGTTGCAGTTAGTTCACCATCTGTTTCAAATATTATGGCTTTTTGTTGCCTGTGTTGGAGGTTCTCCTTGATCGTTTTGGAGACCATGTCTCAGTGAGAGATTCTCTACCAGCTGTTGTTCTTTCGTAGGTTCGGGGGCAGAAGAAAAAGATTGGATGGTTCCCAGCAAACTATGTCAAGCTCTTGGGCTCAGCTAGTGCAAGGTCCACCCCAGAACCTACTGCTGCTGGCGGTCTTATGGTGAGTGGAAATTGATGTGTTGTCCTCTCAGGAAGGAAAGACATACTTCCATTATAGATTGTCATGATAGCTCTGAGAGCAAGCCCTGGTTGCAATTGTCAAACATTTTTTTTATTTGCTTGTGATGAAAGTCAACTGAATACTCCAAATCTATGATGGATATTGAGGGTTCAAATATAGGGTAATTGAGTTTACAGGTAATGTGTCTTCTTTGCCCTGTATTTGTTATTGAACCAAAAAAATTAAACTTAAGCATTCATGGGCACTGGTCAATAGGACACCTTCACACTCTGAATTATTTTTTTACCACTCTGTATTCATTTTTTGAGAAAAGGGGTGACCTTTAATTGATCAATCACCTTATTCTCGTCCTCTCACACATCCATCTTGAATGATCTGATTAGGATGTATCAGTCCTTGTGTTTTATTACAATGTATGTGAGAATAATAGCATTTCTACTTACCGTGATGTTTTGTTACAGATCAATGTTTTTAAGAATAAGTAAGTGGAGGTCAATATTTCCATAGTGTGTTTAATTATACAATTTTAGGGAACGAAACATTGAAGAAAGCAACTGAATAGTCAAGGTTTTAGAGAATAGCAGATCATCCTTCCAAAGCTTCGTTTTTCTATTTATAAAGAATGCCATATCGCCTATGAAAGTTACTGACTTTGAGTAGTGAAATTGGACTTCATGTTTGTGATGTAAAATATTTATAGGAGGTCTGTTATTTGTTTTTAGAGATGATAAATGTCCTTTACTTTTGTAGGTTTTTATTTTTTTATTAGCTGAATGTCTTTCTATTTGTAGGTTGGATCACAAGGCAGCCGCTCAGCCACTCCTCAGAGCATTGCCAGTCAGGATGGCATGCAAGGGATTAATCAGCGTAAGTTGCTTTTTACATGTCTTCGTATCTTGAAAACATTTGCAGCTCTTAGTCAAGAAACTTTTCAAACCCAATTTTGAATTAGTGAATTAATGAAACTATTTTCTACTCTTGAAGAGAGGAGACTCTCTTAGGGTAAATGGGAATTTATAAGTTTTACTTTGATCAGCAGAACCCTCTAGGGAGGGACAGTAATGTTGCATAGTCATAATTGTGAAAAAACAGTGATGCACTTTAAACATGGTAAATTTTGATAGGAAAAGTAACCATAAATAATATGGCTGTTGGGTTAAGAAGATTACATAGTCTAAATATGAAGTTAGGTAATATTTTTTTACGTTTTGAATGTGTCTCAAGCTTTTTCTTCTCTCCTTTTCAGAGGAGACAGTGGTGGCCCTCTATGCATACACAGCTCAAAATGATGACGAGCTGACATTCCAGAAAGACGCAGTCATTACAGTCCTCAGCCGAGACAACCCTGACTGGTGGAGTGGTCAGCTGGACGGCCAGACCGGGGTGTTCCCATCAAACTACGTCACCCCGAACCCTCAGTCTCAGTCGTGTGAGTAAACGCTTTGTTTATCTGGTCTGTTTACATCATGGCTTTCCCCATACAACTCCTTTTCTTTTCTGTCACATGGTTCTATTTGCTGTGCTCAAGTGGCTGTTAGGTCTCAAGTAATTTTTTAAAAGTACAGGCACTCCCGTGGTTACGGTTTCCTCCAACTTCAAACATCCAGTTGTTTGGAACTAACCTCAGAAAGGCTTTCTTTCATATAAAAAAAGATCCTGCACTACTTTGTATGGCATTTCAATATGTCTTGTATTATTTCTTCAATTTACACGTGCATCATATGCACTTATACTGTCTAGAACATTTGATGGACTGTGGAACGGTCTTCCTACTTGTGCCATGATTCCCCTTTCAAAGAGACATTGTAATGGACTTGAATTGTATCCCGGGCTTTCCTGTACATGACCTGTTATTGCTGTCTTGTTAAGCTTAGCGAAGGCCTAGATGTTTCTCATCTTTCTTGTCTTCTTTCTGTTAGATCTGTGGTGGTGTGTTATCAGGAAGTATTCCTCAGGAATGCTATTGGTTTTTCAAAATTTCGAGAAATAACTCGTAAGGTTAGTACTGGTGCAAGTATTTATTCATTTTTGTATGATGCTTTGGGCATCAGCTGGCAAGTTTGTCATTCAGAAGACAATGATGCAACTTGTGCCAGAAACACGGAGCACAGTACACAGTAACTGTCTTACACTTGTACTTCCTCATTCTGTTCTTTAGAAGGCGTGCGGTGTTTATGCTGTGAGCTTGCTGTAACAACGAATCTCCTTTGTCTATTCTACAGGACAGCAAGTTTGCAGCTGAGCACCGCACTGCACAAAATCACACCATCACTGAACTGCTGTACTGCTGTGCAAGTCTTCTCTCCGTCACTGCTTTCCTGGATTCACTTCTATGCTACAAACTTATTTAGTAGTATTGGTTATTTGTTTAGCCAAATAGTCTTTCAAAAGTTTTTACGTCTGTTGTGTTATATTTACAGGAGTGAGAGAAGTGAGATGGCTTTTTTTTTCCTTTTTTTTCTTTAAGAAGTACGTTTATAAGAAAATCAAAATGATATCATTATGCACAACTGTTAGGAATAATTATAAAATAGTCTTGGGGAGACATTGGGATGACGTTTTATAGAAAGTTCTACTTCGAATTTTAAGTGCAGTGGTCTCTGGCTAATAGCACACACTTCGATGACAAGAAAAGCACGCTGTTATGCAAATGTTTATGAAGAGAATTTCAGAGCGAACCACCTTACATCTGATCTCTTGTGATGAGTTGCATCATTGAGCTCAGCTCGCCCTGAGGTGCGAATTTTTCTGGGCAGAGAGATCACAGACAATGGCCATCATGATTATGTCACATCCCTATCACACTGTTCATCCACCACTCATGGCTAGTCACTGGCTTTCCTTATTGCACAATTGTCTCATTACTTTTCTCTATTTGCCATTTTCTCCCTGGCTAAGCTGCAATGTCAAGAAATGAAAGAGGGCATGTGGTATTTTCTTTGCTTCCATCAGTCTCATGGGAAAGGAGTCATTTTAGGACTGATCTATTTCTTACTCTAATGAAAAACGATTGTGCTTTTCGGCAGAGTTTTTGAGGTTTGAAAGGTACACTTATACATGATAATTATATACAAGAATTTCGTTTCCACGCTTTTTAAAAGTGGATCGTGCTTTTATCCTGTGTGCTATTAGCTGGAGACCACTGCACTTTGTTTTGTTTGTTGTTTGTTGCATCTGTTTCCTTCTTTGCCCTTAACACCCAAAGATGTTGATGAGAGTTATGTTGTGAGTGTCCCCTTAAATAGTTCGCAGAAATGATTAATTTTGAAACAGTTAACATTTCTGTTGTTTTAAGAACCTTGGTTGACTTGCGTTAGTTTGTGCCATATGCCATATAGTTGTAAAACTTGGTTACAGGTTGTTGAACTGGTCTTAATATGTGCTGGTACTTAAAATAATGAGTGGTGCTTAGTCTGCTTTTGTATGCAGTACTTGAAAGCCATTGTGTCCCTCCAGTTTTACTCAGTGACAGCAGGACAGTACCACGTTTTCATTCATCTATTGACCAGAATAGCAAGGCTAAGAGTAAGAATGAATTTAAGATAATGAGTTGGAAGTTTCTTTCTTTTTTTCTTTTTTTTTTGAAGATCCCCATTGTAAAAAGAGAAGAATTGAAGCAGTTCCCTCACCAATTGTGTTAACCTTTAAGTTATTTCAATTTTTGATAATTTAAAGAAACTTTTTGCCCAATGATTGATTCTTGCTATGAGGATGGAAGGTCTTTACGACTGTTTCGAGTTTTATGAGTGTATCTTTAGGACTCGACAATAGGTTTACATGGTCCGATCTCTGAAGTACATACTGACTTCCCTTGTGCATTCTTCACTAGTGACAAAAAACTTTGTCAAAATATTTTTTTTTTAAATCTGGTTCTTAGGCAACTCAGAATGACTGAAATAATGAATGTTTTCGGGATCAGAATAAAGAGGAAGACTATTTTGATGTAGTCCGACTAAAATCTACCACGAGTAGAGGCTCGAGTACTGAAAGGTTCGTTTTAAAATTGAGAAGGACTGTCCTTGTGTTTTTACCATTTGGACCAGCATTTTGTCTTCTTCATTCCCTTTTTTGCTGCTGTCTTTTATGTTTCTGTACATTCCTGCTGTATTCATCTTTACTTTCTGTACCGTCCCTTATGCTGAAATACACTGCGTGGAGTCTGCAGGAAGCATTTTTCTTACTTTTCTGTTCCTTAAAAAAATGTTTTTTGTCCTTTTCTTCTTAGAACTGGATTTCTGTCTCAGGCGTAATATCCCTGGAAGTGCATGAAAAATAGGTTTTGTAACAGTATTTTTTAGCCTTTGAACGTACACGATTGTTGTACTTTCATCCTCAATGGAATTTATGTCCAGCTAAATCAGAAGAACCTTCGACATCCATTGTTTGCCTCAACTGTAAAATGTCTTAGAAATGTTCTTTGGTATTTTTTTAGCTGATTGCCTTTGATTTTAGAGCTCTGATCATTAATACTCTGTAGACTTGTGATATTCCTAATACCCACATTGCCCTGTTGTTATGTTTCCTGTCTTTAGATTTGTAGTGTGAGCCTCAATAGACTCCTTAAAAATAATCAGCATCTTCTGTAATTTATCAGTGTTCTTGTGAATGATGGTATGTAGTTTGAAATCACTGTGTTTAGCTTAGTATGTAAACAAGGTCTCCATATACATGATTGGGAGGTCAGTTTTTACTTAAACATTTGTGTTAGATGCAGCATTCATTACGATGTGTTTTTTCCAATTTTGATATATTTATGTGGTTGTCAAAGTTGGGAGACAGTATTTCCAGCTTGTGATTTTGTGGCTGCAGTGTCACTTTTGCTTAACTTGATGTCCTCAGCAGAAGTTTACAAAGTTCAGTCTCAAACCTGTTGTGTATTTAGGGTTTGGAAAAATGCCCTGTGCACTTGAAAAGTTCTGATCATGTTTTGAACTTCGGGCTACTATTTGTGTTCTCATAGGGTGTCAAAGTGTTCATAAGTAGATACGATACCATTTACATGTGTAACTGTACTTTTCCTTTATAAAGCAAAGAAATATTAGAACCAAAGGTTTGAAAGAGAGCTACAGTATTTGAAAAAGAATTCATGAAAATTTACAAATTGTAGACAATTAATTGCTGTGCATCATATATTGCAAACATCAGTAGATTGCTGTTGTTTCTTTTGGGCATTCATGTTTGGCATAGTCTATAGAGCGGTGCTAAATATTTTGTAATTCTGAGTTATGTCAGTGTTTGATCATCCATCTTATTTTGGTCTGATAATTTTGACCTAGCGGAATAGTGAAGATTTTCCTGCAATAATTGTCATATATTGGATTTATATACGAGTCTAGAATACTGAAATTTTTTTCCTTATTTGTGTTCTTATTTAATGTTTTACGCACCAGATAAATGTACATGAAGACTCAGTAAAAGAGTAAAAAATGGCAATTATTTTTTCAATTAAATAGTATAACTTCAAAGGAGAAAATCTACTATGTCATGTGCCATGCTATGAATAGTGATGATTGAGGGCTTTCAGTTAGATTGAATCAGCTATTAAAATGACGAAGAAACTTTTTTTTTCAATTCATGCAAGTTAGACTAGAGGGAGGAAACCGCACTGTATATCTGTGTGGACTGTGTAAATACACAGGCCCTGGATAAAACAAATCACCTTTATCGAGGTATTTTTGGTCAAAGGTATGCAATATTACCAGAATAATAATGTGTGTGCCTAGTCAAATTCACGAAGTTCAAATCGTTTTACTGCTTATGTTTACGTTTCAGTCAATAAAGTGATACTTCCAGGGCTTTATCTAGGTTCCAGAATGTGACTTTGTGCTCAATATCTGACTGTTTAGACACCATGGAGTGGAATGTATTGCTCGTGTGACTGCAATGGTTTCTTCCCTATGAATTACTGAACTAGTTTATATGAAACATCATGATTTTCAGCTTTCAGTGAAGTTGCCAGCCAGATTTTATGCTTAAATTAAACATAATCAAAACTGTTTGCCTGCGTTTGTAGACATTATTGTTATAATGGGTTTCAGTGAGGTCCCTTCTCTGCTTTCTTGCAGTGAGGAATATTTGCCCCCATACTACATGCGACATTGATCTCATAGAATCAAAGCTAGCAAGGGTGTATGTCAATTATGCAAATACAATTTGTGACGGGGTTGAAGAAACGGAAGTGAATTTTGATTTTCTTGTGTTTCTATCTTTCTTTATCATTTTAAATGACCGGTGTCAGTCCTTTATAATATTCGCTTTGCCAAAATTCTTTTCGCTCTCTGAAATTGCTGGGTTTGATAGATGAATGGTTTATTTGAGAGTATGCTCTGATTGGGAAGTTTTCTCCATTCCCCGTCTTATGTTTGTTTATAGAAGTAGGAGAGCTATTCAGTCTAATACAGCAGGTGATTGTCTCAAATTCATGTGTGTTTGGAGCATAGCATCCATTTCGGTTTAAGATTCACTCCAAAGTTCACAGAGGTGACCAAGTTTTTTGTAATTCATCTGTTTAATTTTTCACCCTGGAACCCTGAAATCAGACAGATCAGTTTGCAGTGTGTAGGTTGCAACTTTTTCTTTCTGAGGAGCAAAGCAGGTACCTTATTTTGTTCACCCTGACTGCCCTTTTTAAACCCCAAGTTTTTGGTATTGATTCCCAGTATTGCAGTTCTTTTTTTATCATAGCTCTTCATATCCATCAGTGATAGTCTCCACAACTTAATCTGAGGGGTTGTAGAAAATTAAGTCAACACCATTTTCAATTCATGAGCTAGTATCTTATCCTTTTGCCCCTGCTGTCTGCTGTCATATTTAGCTTTTTTTTAAAGACTTATTAGAATTTTGATACAAATATAAGCAGTTTTTGGTCCATCTGAAATATTGAGTGTAGTATAGAAATTCAGTGAGTGTTTTTGAAGCACCGAGTGTCTCTTTCTCCTCCAAGTACTTCAGCAAATTAAGAAAAAGATTCGAAGTGAAAATGTTTTCCTTACTAACTGCTATCATGATTCTTTTCTTCCTGTACTGCTTATTCTGTGTCTAACCTCTTCCTGCATTATAATTTGCTACCATTATACATTATATCTGTAAGATGACAAAGGTTATCTCTGAAGGTGACCAGCTCATTACCGATTACTAACCCTGTGTAAAGTCTTTGTTTTGTTAATTGTTCCAAATGCACTAGGAATGATTTTTGTGGTTGTCATCATATATCATCATAAATAAAGTCCTGAGAGCTGTAGGGTATTACGCCCAAACCAATTGGCAACAAAATACTACAACAACATTGCCTGGTTAACTTTCTCTAGTTATTTGCCTATGGATATAACCTTGATGGTCCAACATTCCTGACCTGTAAAAATATGTGAATCGTGTGTTTTCTCAAAGGTAATTTCAAAAAACGATTGGAGTGCTTTTTCTCCCTTCCATCCTAAGTTCTAGCCTCAAGTAGAAGTAGGAATTCTCGTGCGTGTTGTGTGTGCTGGACTTGTTTCAGATCTTTATCTTGTAGCTCTGTTGAACTGATGTTGTGCTTTAGCAGTTTAGCCTTCTTTGAATATGTTGCATTTGGTCGCAACTCAGGTCAAGACATTTGATACATTTCTATCTATTTCTCGAGATGACTAAACTCAAGAAAATATCTTAGCCTTGATTCATTTCATTTGTTTTGTTGGTGTGCAACTTGTCAGAGCAGCAAATATGTCCACACCTATAGCTTCTGAGGTAATAATGAGAAAGTGTGTTTGTATTCATGGCTACATGAAATTGTTTTCCACGGTTTCATCCATGATTTCATACCGTCAATTCTTTTTTATTGGTGTCTTCATGAAAAATAATCAAGTTGCAAAATTGGTGTCAGTCATCTCTGCTATTCCTGTACTGCTCCTGATTCCCAAGTCCATCCCTTTGTCCCTTGTGTTACAACCTGAGTTTGTTGCTTACTGCCTTCCCTCTGTGTGCAATATCCACCTAGTGTTGTAAATTTATCTGCAATCACTTTGCCAGCCAAGAGTTAGCGCATTTATTACGGATATATTTGGAGCCTGAATTTATTTACCAGTATGTAGCTTTACACTCCTCTCTCTTTTTTTTTTTAAGCCTGGCAACGCTAACCTATAAAAGTCATATTACTGTGTTTTCACTTTTTGCAAGTGTATTATAGCCAAAGTTATTAACTATTTTTCATGGAGTGTAAACCGAGAAGGATTTTTAATGACTATTGTTATAAATATACCCAACATATTCTGGTATCTGATAAGGGATTCTTTATCGTTAATGATTGTGTTGCTTATGGCCATATTATTTTCAGGGTATTTAGTTTGCACTTCTTGTGAATTCAAACTACTATTTATTTTGATAGATTCACATATTTATCTGAAATGGAGTGAAACTACCCGTATTTGACTTCTCTTCCCTGCTTTACGTCCAATACCGATCACTTTTTGCAGTTTTCATGTGCTGTTTACACCAACCCTAAGTTATTCTGTATAGAATTAGATGTTCTTGCCCTTGAACAGTAAGATTTAATTGTCCAAGCTCATTAGCGTTGTTAGCCTCAGTCTGGTTCCTTGTGTAACCATTTAGAGTCAGAGGATAAACCTGTCACCGAGGAGGCTCACGCATCCTTAAATGTTATGATGTTTGTTTCCTTATCATCTAGTGACATTGAAAAGGAGTTCTTTGAAAATTCTAGTGAAGTTCAGACCTTCTTTTACTTCAAGTTTCTTTCTTGTTTACCGCTCTAAATGGCCATTGGCATAGTTGTGTTACAGTTTGGAAGACTTATTTATTAGGAATTCATAAAGTCCTCCTGACAAGCTTCTTCCAGGTGAAAGATTTCTAGTATTTGGTAAATGTTGTTAGCTTGAAAATGTGGTAGAAAGTGCACATTTACTTTGTAGCCCATGTTTAATAGATACCGTTGTATTATTACTGTATAATTTATTATTAAAGAGCCTCAGCAAGATGACACTGTGTTGTTTCATTTGTTTTGAATTTTCCATTTGTTTGAATACGTATACTTCATCCTCATAAGGCTTATGTTTTTGTCTTGAGAATAATTTCGCTACTGCTCAATTGTCTCTTTCTGTATCTGTTATGTTCTTGTTTTTGGGCGTCCTAATGTTCCCCGGTGAAAATCTGTAGCCATGTGAATGTCATTTAGACAAGAGGTTAATTGTCAAAATGTGGTAAATTGTCCAGTGAATCTACATCCTTTTAATCCTGAAAACCTTATTTTCTTTCAGGGGGGGGGAGCGGCACCCCGAAGCTCCAGATTCAGCTCAAAACTATGGGCTTTAAGTTGTAGGCATTTTTTGCTTCTTCAGCCTCTTTTACTACTATTTCATTGCATAAAGAACCCCCTTAAGCCTTATTTCTTCCCATACCGGGCATATTTGTCACCACCATTTCCTCATAAAGTATATCTTTTATTTTTCTTTATCGTCCATTTTCTCGAAGCGTGGTTTTTCTATATACTTTTTTTAAAAATAACTCCACCATTATTCTTCCAATCTTCATAAAATTTTCACAGCATAAAGAAAAACAATATGATAACTGGGCAATTTAAAGCCTTTCATTCATGAAATCCTCGAAGCAAGTCTTGACTTTTGCTGTTTTTCTTAACCCTATCCGTACGCCCTGGGGTCATTTTGTACCCCCGGGGTTGCATTTCTTCACATTTTAGAATACTTCTAGTACAAAGATCTCTTTGAAACTTTCAGTATTTCTCAAAAAATCATTTTGACAGACTGCTATGCAAAGCGTTCGGATCGGATTAACGAGTAAATTTCCTCTTTGGAAAGTGGCACAGAGTTCCCCACGTCGTATGGATACGATAGTAAAACACAACGTACGGATAGGGTTAAACAAGATAAAGAATCATTTTAAACATAGTGCAAAAGGAAATTTGTTTAAAAATCATTCATTAGTTTGTAGAACCAGAGAACAGCATCAGTCTTCGGACTTAGCTGCTAGTTAGTGTACAGATGACAGATACAACCAAAAAATAAAGCAGTTGGTAGGTGGTTGTTCTGTATGGTTGTTCGTTTTTCTCTGTTCTTGTTGTCATCCATTGACTGGCAACATATTGTTATCTTGCAATCCCACAGTACACAACTTTACATGCACAAGATGAGGTGTGTCTAGCTAGTCGCTGTTCACATCCCAATGAAAAACTTTTGTTGTTGTTTCAATCATATTGATTTGATGGCAAGACCCTCTTCTGCATCGGGGAATACAATTTGTCCATCTGCCTTTCAATTTTCTTGTCTTTGTCCTCTGACTAAAATAACTTTGAAAGAATTGCAAACAACAGCCTTGTTCAGAGTATTAAGATTGTAAGAGCAGCTAAATCCAGCAGATTTTTGGAAGAAAAGGAGAGAAAAACACACTTAAATCTGCCTTTGCTCCAACCAGGGAATCTGCAATCGTGGATCTGTTTCCTCAACTACCTCTGGGAGCCATGCAGCTGCAGCACCATCTACTTCTGCGGTCATGATCATCATCAGCTCTATAGGCCAACATTATCATCGTTAAATTTGAAAATTCCAGTCTGGGAAGATATCTCTCTTTGCTCAACTGATAAAATGTCACAACACTCAAGTTGGGAAAGCAGTTTTGAATCAATGTGGATTGGGAACTCCAAGACCAGGAGTTGTTTTCATTTTTGTGATAGTTTGTCGCCTCCCTTTATACTAACGGGCGGTTTAATAGTGGGCTTCCGAACAAAAGATGTGTCTGGGGAACAAAGAAAGCAATATGATTGAGGGTGCGTGTTGGGAGTTTGGAAAGTGGTGCTGCCATTCACAGAATGATGCATTGATTCAAATCTCCTTCCCTGGTATGTCTTTCTCAAGTGTCTATAAATGCATTGAATTGATTTGTTATCAAACTGCAAAGTTACAGGACAATATAGCAGGCCTGGTGTCCTGTTGAGGTGATATTGGCTTGATCCACAGCATGGAAGGGATTTGAAAAGTGTTCTGATTGACTGGCCGACTAATAGGATTGTCTTCTCCTCTTCTGTACCTCTCAGGGATGAATGACAACGTTCAGGAGGAGCTGTCTAAACTAGAGCGAAAGCGCCAGCGTGTCATTCAAGAACTCATCAGCACCGAGGAGTCCTACAACTCTGATATGCTGATTGCCCTGGAGGTAATGTCAAAGATACGACTTTATAAATTTACGTCATTACCAGATCTGCAGCAGGTGAATGTCTGCAAAGAGATTTTTAAGTTCTTCTCACACCTCCTGTTTCTCAAGACTGGTTTTTCATTAGTAACAATGTAACAAGGACCCAGATTTTAATTAAGTCTGCAATAACCATAATTATTGGTGGTTGGTGGGTGCTGTTAAGTGCTGCTCCTTCTACTTGTTGTCAGTGTAATTATTGTCCTATTTAGTGATTGACAAAATGCAGCTATTTTTATGCAGGCCATAAACCACATCCCAAGAACAACTAGGTAACATTAACACTGTCTGATTTAACAATGAGAAGCTGCTGAGTGAGTAGTATGTTGACAAATTTTAAAAGCTGAATAAAAAAGAAATTGAAAGATTTGCCCCTAACATTACTCTTAAATTTTGTTTCCAAAATGATTTTCTGTTCAGATATTCAACCCCTGTCTGATTTTTTTTTTTTACCCTGGTTACTGCCTTCATTTCCTTTCTTTTAATCTGCCAGATTCCTCACAAGGAAATGCCTTTTGTACTTTGGCCCTTTGACCACAGTCTTCGGTTAATACTAGAGTGAACCTGTACCTTGTGGGCGACAAATTGTTCTTTTTTTTTTTTTTTTTTTTTCTTTTTTTTTTACCTACGTGCTCTGATGTCCTATCAAATATCAATAGTCCTAGTCTCTGAACTCTCTCTTCCTTCTTTTTGTGTTAATTAATTACACTCTTGTAAAATTGTGCCCTCTCGATTTTGGCTCGAGGATCCTGCGCCAGAATCTCTCCAAGCTCAATCGGACTCGAAAAGATTACTAGGGGCAAAGGATCAGGGAGTAGAATGCTGCCATTGTAAAGATCATAATCTGCCAACTTGCTATTTACAACCCGCTTACAAATACCCCCAACATACCTGCCACTATACTGTCTTCCCACTTAGCTCCTCTCTCCACTTGTCTTGGCCCGATAGAATAGGCTAACACTAACAATGTCACCTTAGCAGAGACTGAGCCCACCATTTCGGAACTTCATGGTGACCGTAAAGATGGTTCCAGTAGGGAACGGGATAGAGGGTGCCCACGTCCCTCGTGACTCATTGGAGCAGAGGAAGATAGGACTAACGCTAACAGTACTTAAACGAAATCCCTCATCATCACTCATCACCACTATTAATGTTAAAATTATCACCTCTCTCAGATCAATGACTTACATATATAATCCTGGAATCTCTATCCGCTATTACAGTTAATTGATATACTAAGTATGCATGTAATACACTATTGGACACAATCATATGCACTTTTTTCTACTAATCAGATGGCGTCAATCTCATATAAATGGGCAAGGGAGAAAAAAAAAAAAATTACACTCTTGTAACAAAAGTCTCTTACTGAAGCTAAACATAATTTAGCTTTTCTTTTTTCACAACACCGTTCAATGAGGAGGAAGCAGAGGTATACTAGTAAAGGAAAGAAGAAAGTGTCACATTTTCATATGAGAAATCATCTGGAGTCGTATAAACTTGATTTGGGGGGGCTCTCATGGTCTAGAGGTTACGGTATTCACCTCTCATTCAATAGGTCCCAGGTTCAAAACTTGACAGCAACCAAAAATTTTCTTCTCTAAAATTTTCTCCTTTCACCTCCTTTCCTACTCTCTAACCATACTCTGACACCTGCTTTCGTCTCCACTATCTGCCCCCCCCCTCCCCCTTTTTGCACCCTCTTGGCTCCTGACTCTTTCTATAGCCTTTCTTCTGCTACTCCTTGAATCCCTCTTACTGCTGTCTTTCAGCCACACCCCTGTTCTTAGGGTAGGTAAGATCTAACACCTAGCCTTCTTGGATAAGGGCGTAAAAATCTGGAAGGTCCCGTGTTCAGGTTGAGCCCTTTAAATATCCCTTGATGGTCCAAAATCAATATGAGTAGGCTTTGGCTGCCATCTGGGCGAAATTCAAAATTATTTTCTACCAAACTGAAAATGTTTGATGTGTCCCATGCACTCAAATGACCTCATGTTGTTGCGAGCGTTCTAAAACACTTACCAAAAAAGCCCAACAACATAAAACCTTTTGCAATGGTCTGAAATTTTGGGGCGGGTTTGGGGGTGGGGGGGTGGGGGGGTGGGGGTATTTAATAGAAAGTATTGGCAAAAAATGTTGGTCAAGTTTCTTTTCTCTAAAGGGTTTTTGTATTTCACTTGTTGCTTCTGTTCACTTGTTGTATTTCTCCGGTAGGTGGTTGGCTGGCTGGTGCTCTGGTGTGGTTTGTTCTTTCTTTCCCATGGTCCTTACTTTTTATTTCAGTGTCTTTCAAATTTAGTTCTCAAGTTGAACTTTTTACTTTCACTGTTGTCCTAACATCTCTCAACGTCTTTTTATGTCTGCAGGTGTTTAAGAAGCCATTGATTAGTGGTAACGTCATGCCAAAGGAACAAGTGAACCAGATATTTGTCAACTGGGAGGAGCTCATTGTGTGTAATAAAAAGCTGTTACAGTGAGTTCAATTAATGGGTTGTTTGTTGTTTTTCTGTTGTGTTGTAAATTACGATTCACTAACGACTCGACCACCGGTACTCTTTTAAAACAATGCAATGTATCTAGGACCATTTTTCACAGCCAAAGCCCAGCGCCCTTTGTACACTCAAATTGCAAGAAATGTTGATTTATTATCAAAAATGGCCGCTTTTCCTTCAGAGGCATAAATAGTTGGCATACATAACTTTCAGGTGTTAACGAGTCAAAGCTTCTTGTTTTTTACTGTAAGGTCAAGCTGAAGAACACAGGAAAAAGAAGAAGGAAAAGGAGTCCTCTTTATTTTTATTGTGTGAATCGCCATAATGGAATCTGTTGCAATTAGATGAATGTCAAACAAAATTGAAACCATAAGAATTTTTTAATCGAGTAAAAGCTACATTTAATTACCTGAACAGTAACAACTGTTTTGTTTTTCAGTTTGTTGCTCTTGGGTGTCTTTTTGAGAATTTTACCTCAAAGGTCATATACACTCTTACAGTGTGGTTATTTTATAGTACTGGCTTTTTTTTTTTTACTTTTAAAATGTGAGGCTAATTTGTCTTTCCTCTATGTTGCAGAGCCCTTCGAGTCAGGAAAAAGATGTGTGGGAAGAATGGAGTCATCTTCATCATTGGGGATATTTTATGTGAAAGTGTGAGTTTCATATGGAACAAATGTTTTTATCATCTCTAATAGTAATATAATATTCCTGTGGATAAAGTACCATCCACATATGACCTGTTTGCTAGGGAATATAATAAACAAGTTAATGTTTCTTCCACCTGAATTTCAAAAGATAACTCTGTCTTTACAGCTATGTTCTCCTTCACAGCAAGGACTTTTAATATTTTGATAAAGATTATGTGGATAGTGCACTTGCTCTTGGCTCTTGAAATTTTTATTTTGTTCTCTATGTGCAGAGTTAATTATTGAATGTTTGAAAGTAGGCCTACATTTTAGAAATGTTAAAAAGAAATCTAATGTACCTACATTTTGTTTTCTCATGTTGTCTCAGCCCCCTACTCTCCTACCCCATCTCACTCTCAAATATGCTTCCATTCATACTAATGTCATCATAATTTAAAGTATTTTCTCAAATTGTTTTGTCCCTAGCTCCCTCATATGAATCCCTACATGAGATTTTGTAGCTGCCAGCTATCAGCTGCTGCTGCATTGCAGAGAGCAGCAGAAAACAGCACAGCATTTCAAGAGTTTCATAAGGTAACAAAGGGTCACACCAACTTTGTTTTAGCCGCTTGAGTTTTTTGGGGGGGTTTTTTGTTTGCTTTTTACTTCGAACAAATACTCAGGTTTTTCATTTGAGCAATGTGGTGTACCCTAAGTATACAATACTGTCAATAAATCTAGAGGTCTCATCTCTTTACATATATGCAGAGTGCTTTCTGGATCACACATGAAGATTGATAACAAGCTTGATTTAAGATTGTTTACTGTAATTAAAAGTATATTATATGAGCTTAACAAGAAGTGTGGATGTAAATGTTTGCGATGGTTTCTGATGATAATAAGAGATTGCTCTGTAAGATGATCTTGACTTATATGTTAGGGCAATGAAGTTAATGTTCTCAAGGTGTCCATTGCATGTGATGGGAATATGTATGACTGTTCTATTTAGTGTTGTCTTTTTATCTGCCTTTTTTTTGTTCTCCACAGTTGTGCATGCAAAACCCGAAAGTCAAGGGAGTACATCTTAGTGGCTATTTATTAAAACCTATGCAAAGAATAACAAGGTACCCTCTTCTTATTGAAAAGGTGAGTGATTCTTTTACTAATTACACAAATTGAACGTTTACTTTATTCATATGTCAAGGATCTCTCTGGTGTATGTCTTCTTCCCCTCTTTGGGAATGACCTGAAGTTGTCTTTGGGCCATTTCCTAAGGGGGGATATCAACATGTTCTTATGCACGGTAGAATTGTAAATGGGCTTATTTATCAATGTCATGTTCATACTGTGCCAGAAAAAAATATAGGGGGAACTACTGTTTTTTCTTTCCTCATCCTTACTATCATCATTTTTCCTCACTTCCTTTTGTATGTTTGTCACTCTCTTGTGAACTGCTATTTCCGGGGTGCCTTGATAGTCGAAGCAGACTTTATGCTGTTGAGGCTAGAGAGGTGAGCAGAGTAAGCCTGATTCCCTGTTTTGACTTCCCTGTTGACATCCACCCCTTGGCGCTCATATGACCTTATGCAGTTGTGAGCGCTGTAAAACCTTACTAAAACAAACAATATGTCTTCTTCTCAATTGCGTCACACTTGAAGACCAGTATTTGTTGCATACTGGGCCATCCTGCTAAGTTCCTCATTTGGTGACTTGTTCAACTTGTCCTGTAGTGTTGATGGGGCTGGCTCTGTCTCATGTCTTAAGGTTGTTGCTAATTAGTGGAAAGAAAGAAAAGTTTTCTTCTTGTGACATTTCTTCAACTTACATGAAGCAGAGAATCTGATTTGTTTACACTTTGCTTTATGTTCTGTATCCCACTGCCAATAGAGAAACAGAGTGTGAAATTTAATGTTGAGTTTCATTTCTATCTCTCTCTCTCTCTCTGTGTGCAGATTCTGAGCAACACGCCGACAGAGCACGCTGACAGGAACAATGTGGAGGAGGCCTTGAACCTGGCTCAGGAGCTGTGCAACCAGGCCAACCAGTGTGTGAAGGAGAAGCAGAACTCTGACAGCCTGGAGTGGATCCAGTCGCATGTCCATTGTGACGGTCTGGCAGAGGTCAGAGGCTAGGGGGGAAGGGGAGGCTTTTTTGTGTGGTTTGGTTGTGTTTTGTGATGAAGACTGACTTTGTTTTTGATTTTTTTGTGGTTATGGTAGGTAGATGTTTTGATATGATCTGCCCTTTTGTCTTCTTTTCCATGTTACTTTTGTCCTAATCTGTTCCTGATGAAATGTTGTCATTGTCAGCTGGCTTGCTGTTATTTACCCCTTAAAAAACACAACTACTTCTTTTCATCATTCTCCTTTCCTGTCCTTTGATGGTTGAGCAGTGCTTTTGGTAGTCTTATTTCTTATCTGTTCTCCTGGCATTCTTATTCTATATCTTGCTTTTTATCCCCCTGAAGGCCTAATGATCATCACCATGGTGACTCCCTTTTGTCTCTGTGTTCTGACTGTTACTGTAGTTAAGTAACCTTTTAAACTTTTTTATAATCAAAATTTCATGTTTAATTAGTAATTTAGATAATCATTGTCATCACTGGTCGAGTATGAGCATGCCTGACACAGCCAAGCACTAATGTTGATGTTTATAAACAAAGGTTAAAGGTTGTAATAACATTTCCCTACGTATTTATATATATATATATCAACCATCGCTATAGATACTGTGATTACATTTTATTTCCACTTCTTCCTTCATAATAATTTGTTGTTTTCTTTTATATTTCAGAACATTGTTTTTAATTCAACTACGAATTGTTTAGGACAACGAAGACTCATATTTCATGGCATTTTGTACAAGGTATGACTAGGGTTTTTCCAGGATTGTGGGTGGTTGGACGGTGCTCTGTTGTATTTTGACCCTTCTTTTCTATCAAACATCTATTGTCTTTATCTCTCCTCCATCTTTTCTTTTTTATGTTACTCTGTGGTAACACCTCTAATCTTCTGCACTTTTATGACATATATGTGTTGCAAGTGCCTATAAAACTCTTACTAAAACTATTCCAAGATTATTTTGCTATCACCCCAAAAATATGTGTCCAATCAAATCATACCTTGGGAATCTTCATGGTTGCTGGTCTTTGTTTGTGACTAAAAATCGAAACTTTGAAATGCTCAGTCTATTGATATGTTCTATGGTGAGATTGATGTCAGTTGTAGCTCTTTAAAAGTTGGTCAAATAAAATGTCAAAACTCATAAATGTCAAAACCTTAAAATGGAATCGGTGAAATCGAAATTCATGAATTAAATGTAAAACATGTTGTTCCTTTTATTAAAAGAGAATTCAGCTTTTTGCAGTCACACATTTCATTTTGGGAGGAGACTGCTGTAAAAAAAAAAAAACCCACTAGTTTAAGGAGAAGGTTCATTATATGAAGACTGTAATCTTGAAAAGAAGCTGCTTATTGTAAGGTCTGCTCAGACGAAATTAGTAAGTGGCATCAGATAGAACAGAGAAACTCTTGGGACACATAATGTTATGTTTACTCAGACATTTATGTACTTTGGAAGAGTTTATCTGTACAGGATGAACACATTTCTCCTAGTTTTGAAATATTATAGATGTTTATTCTCTTATTCTCTTTCATGAAAAGAAGTAGATATGAGAATGGGGGGGGGGGGTTATTTCTGAAATGGTATATCCTTCTATTCATTTGTGTGTGATTGGTCCGGTAAAAAAAAATGATAATGTATTTGAACTCTACATGACTTATCTTTGTGCATTTACAGGGAACACAGTTTTTTCATCTTTTGTTATCGTCGAATAATCTCCAAGGTAATGGAGAATTGAGTCAGTGTGTGATCTCTGTCACTCCATCATTATTTGTTTTTGTTTGTGATTCAAAGAGTTCCTATTTTATTTTCGGTTGTACATGTCAATTATTTCAAGTGTGTCTTTTCCTCACCCCTTCTGACAGGCAAAAAGCAACAAGGAGCTTATAGGATTTTTGTTCAATGATTTCCTCATGCTTGCCACCACATCACGTCCTTTGGGCACTACCTTCAGCACTGTTCACCTCTTTGATACAAGTACACAGTTTAAAATGTATCGTGTTGTAAGTATATCTTTGTCAATAAACAACTGCTGTCTAGGGATACTAGTGAAAATACCATTCGTGATATTCTCTCTAATAAACTGGTAACTGCCATAGGAACACGCCGTTCTAGCCATTGATGAGTTCAGAATAATGGAAATGGGTGTCATTTGCAGATAGATACTCCTTACTCTTTTATTTATTTTGTTAATAATGTTATTTCTGAAGAAAAAGAAAAGAGAAGTATGTCTCCTTACAGATTTGGAATCCTAGTGCAATTTTCAATATGATTCTGCTTCTTCATGGCATTTGTTTGTGTGTTATTGTAATTCTCAGACACTACTTGTCATATGTATAATTTTATATAGCCTAACTGAGAAAATGACAATAGATTGAGACATAGATAACAAAGATCAAATTCTATGTGCGTGTATTCTAGCTCGTACCATTGACATATAAATGTGACTTGGGTCTGTTTAACTTAAGTGTGTTACTTGCTGCATTTCCTGTTTTCTTTGGTTCAAGTTGTTTTGGATCTTGGGTTGTTTGGAGTCTATTCACAATCATTATTATTCACCATGCTCTACCTCAGTTTGATATCTTTAGGAAACTGTAAAAGTGGTGCCAAAACTAGAACTCCAACCAAATCAAATATTGTTTTCTTTTCAGCCCATTTTCCTGAATGAAGTAACGGTAAAGAAGCCTGTTGATGACACAGATCCTACTTTGTTCCACATCACAAGTGACAGAATCATCAACCTGAAAGCTGTGTCCCATGTAGAGAGGTCTGGTTTACGTTACATTACTTGCTGCTCTCTGTTGAAACATTTAGCACTTCCATCAAATTTCAGTCTTCTGAATCTTTTAGAGATTACCCCTGCCTCAGAAATATTATAATGCTCTAAATTGTTTCGATGGGGCTTAAAACATTTACAGTCAGAGACTTTTCTGTTTCATGACTTCAAAATCCTGCAGCCTCTATGAGTTCAGGAGTGAAAGAAAGTTTGTGCTCTTCTGAGTATCCCTGAGAAGAAGTTGTTTTGGTTATCATATAATGTGTACTTTGATATCTTCTCTTTGGCAAGTTTCACATATGAGGGGTCCACGGGAAAAACGGGCATAGTCGCAAACTGGAAATAATGAGGGTGTCAATTTTCAAACCTTGTAGACTCATGGATGTTTGTTTGACTGGTGGTTTATGTGATATGTTTGTTGGAAATCGAACAACAATAATCAACCTAATGCTGAGCAGAAATACAGTTATGAGTCAACAAGCGTTCAAAATTGATACCCTCTTGATTTTCAGTTTGTGACTATTCCCGTTTTTCTCGTGGACTCCTCATGTGGAATGGTAGGTGTGCGAGAGTAGTAAAACTGCATAATAGCTGTTTTCTCTTCAACCATGCCGTTAGCCTGCAAGTTGATATTGAGTGAGGAATGTAAGATTTTGCAGTACTAGAGGGCATATGTAAAAATATTTTTAAAATATGTCCTACAAAGTAGTTTTTATGAAATGGTCAGTTTATTTAGCATTTTAAAATATACCTTCATGCGAAACAGGGATACCTGGATCCGAGAAATAGAAGCAGCCTCCAAACAGTACAAAGACAAAGCAAAGAGAAAGCTGGAGAGAGCCCACTCGGGTAGGTGAAAGCGAATGAGATTAATTCTGTTTTTATATTATAATGCTTATATAGCTCTTTCTTTTTTAAAATAGGTACAATTATTAAACAGTTTACCTTAAGGCTCTATAGGAGGTAAGAAGGAAAAGTGTGTATTCTATCATTGTTTGAAATCCACCTGAACAAGAATATGACATGAATTGTGTTTATGGGAGGAGGGGGGTGTTTGGAGTTGCTTTTTATGACATTGTCTAGAGATGTTTCGTGTTATGAATATTTTGGAGTTTATTTACTCTGACAGAGCCTACACTTAGTCTGACTAATCAGTAAGAATTTTGGGGCAGTAAGCTTAGTTTGAAGGTGTTTACTCTTGAATATTCATGTATTTATTATGTTGTTTTGGAGTTTGACAGGTCTAGTGTATTTTACCACTTTCATCATAATCAGTAAAAAAAAAGCTTCATTTTTAAACAATGTCTTAATGTGCTTTCAGCACAGTCAGTTGAATTACGTTTCAAAGTTTTTTTCTTATGCCATGATGATGATGATTATTACATTTAAAAAATGTTAACAATTGGACAGTTTTAACAGATCTGCATACAGATCTTTGTCCTTTTCAAAGTGGTGACCTAAAAAGCCATTTTTCAAGTTTTATTTTTGAAACTTGGTATTGTACCTTGATTTTTGGGTACATTTTTTTTTTAGTGTTCTAGTCCTTAAGCATTTCAAATCGTGCTGTTATTTTAATATCAGTTTAGTTACTGTGACTTAGTCTTTATTACTTTTTTCCTGTCTTTTTCTGTCTTTCTAACCATCTCCTGTATTCCGAAATTCACCCATCTTTCATTTCCATTGTTTTCTGTCCTCTACCTCATTCTACCTTTTTGTCCTGTTTTTTTCTTCAATCTTTTTCTCTGTGTATAAAGTACTGATCTACTTTATTTTTTTCTATGTAAAGGTTTAAAAAATTTGTATTTACCCTTGACCCCATGCAAACTTTCTCCGAAAAGGTTATGTAGTCTTATCAGCAGAGTGCTAAGGCACTTACCTTTTTCCTTCTTCTCCCTTCAAATGTGAGTCAAATAAATACTAAGGTGTCTTGTGTACATTGTACTGGCTTTAATGTGTTGAATGGAACTGTCAGTGTCTGAAGTGACAAGAAAGTAAAACATGTTGACACTCTCTTCTCTGTTGTAAATGGCACTTGTAGCCTTGCGAGCAAAACCAGTTGGCAGAGCGCTGGTGGTGGTGGAGGAAGGAGTGGGCCTAAGGCCTCCTCTTGATGCCGGTAGGTTTGAGGCTTTCTCATGGGGTGAAGAAGTCTATGGCAGAGTTCTCTCTGAGCCAAAGTGAGGCTGTGTAAAGGAAGTTATTAGTTTATCAGTTTCTTATGTATTGATTTATGTGCAGTAAAATTCATGAACTAGATTCATTTCCAAACAAAACCGGTGGTACTTGGTAAATCTTTTTACTTACACCCATTGTGAATACTTCTTTGGTAAAAGAATTACAATATTTTGAGTACCCAATAATTTGGTTATCTCATACTAAAGGCAATGATTTTTGGGTTCAGCAACAAGTACCAAAAATAATTGTTCTGTTATTTGAAGATGCTTTGTTGGACTTTAAACGTCCTTCTTTCAAATGAGAAATACAAATGTTGACCCGTCATGTAATTTCATAACAAGGCGAAATGTCCTTAAATTCTTGTTTTTTGAAGAGACGCAACTCATTCACACCTCACTTTGAGTTCAGAAGATGACTCTGAAGAGTGCATAGTCTTGTCAGCCTCTACCCACCCTCAGTCTTGTGTTGATAGTTTGTGCACCAGAACCTCTGTGTACCGGTGTTGTACTGCATGCCAATCACTGCCATTCTTCAGTTCTGCTCCGGAGGTTTTTTATTTTCCTGCCTTACTAGGCATAAAGGTTTCAGGTGATACATGAGTCCTTCGACGCAGTCTGGTTATGTTAAATTGTTAGATTTCACTCTCCCCCCCTCCTTTCCATAAATGGAAAAACGATAAGAAATATGACCACAGTATGGGCATTTTTCTTTTCCAATCATATGTTTTCTGGAAAGTAAATTTGTTAAAAGACCTCAAAAAGGCAAACCCTGGGTATGTCCTTACGACAGGTTTTGAGTCAGAATAGAGGGCTGAGGGAAGAAAAATAAAGACATACTTTTTTTGTTGGTTGGCTTGATTTGAAGCTGCTTGGGATATAGGAGGTGTTCTTTTCCTGTAGGCCAAGTGTTTTTTGTATAGTAATAGTATTCATAATTTCCCAGCTGGAAATCTCCATTTCCATCATTGTGATTGAAAAATTGTGACTTTAGAAGAGGAAACAATATGCTTCTTTTTTTACCACCGCACCTTTTCAGTCGTGTTTTAAGTTACACATTTTTTCTCATTTTTGTTATTATTATCATTATCACATGTATTATTATTATTATTATTATTATTATTATTATTATTATTATTATTATTGTTAACATTGTTTTTATTATTATTATTATTATTATTATTATTATTATTATTATTATTACTATTTTTATTATTGTTACTGTTGTTATTGATATGGGAATCTTTTTTAAGCTGTGTGAGTGTCAGTCTTAACCCTTTCATTATCTATTGCACTGATGATTATTTATTATTGTACTCAGTTCCGTGTGTTCTGTTGTTTTTATGTTACTTGTGCTTGTCATTGCATCTTGGGGATTTCACCACCTGCACGTCCCTCACTTCGGGCTCTTAATCTTTTCGTTGTCTCTTGTTTTGCTGTACCTTAGTTTCCTGCTGAGCATCATTTGAGTTTGAACTGCATGCACTGCAACGCTTGGTTTATTGTTTTATTCTGTTAGTGAAGCGCCCTAGTGTTGGCAGAATCCTTGTTGTCATTCAAGAGGCTTGCCACTTGAAAGCCTCTGATCAGTCCGGTAAGTTGATGTTTTACATCAGGTTGTGCATTTAAGCATTCTACTGCATGAATGTTGGTTACGTAAGAAACCTTTTCCTATTTAACCCATTTTTCTTTAATTAAGCATTTTGAAGTAGTGGTATGTATGTATGGAACCTTTAGTCAAAAGAGGGGTAATGTTTGTCTGGTTAATTCTTTCTTGAATTTGACAAGTTAGATCTTACTGGCAGTAGTGTAGGTTTATGATTGTATAACAGTTATGAATCTGGCACCTGTTTCTCAGGTGTACAGCTGTTATTTTGCTTTTCTCTTAGTCATACTGATTCACGTTGTTTATCAGGAGTGAGGTTCTATTTTTTACTCACAACTTTGTGGAATAAAATTGATTTTGAATGGAAAATACTCATTTTAATATCAGTGTATCATAAATATATTATTTCGACTTGCCATTGGTATGAATTCATAGATTTAATCATTGTTTCATGTGTACTTTACCATAACATCTTAATGGTATTTCTGAAATATTCTGTTATGAATAAACAGGAAAGAAAATGTACAAAGTTACTCTTTCATTTTTGATAACATACGGATGTAATATTTTTGCTGGACAAGGAATCTGATGGTTATCAGTTAGTAATTTGTCAGTATGATTTAGCTTGTTTGCCTAGACAAGGTTATTGACCGAAGAAAGGGAAAAAGAAACTTTATATCCATGCCTTATTTCCTCTTGACTGGTTCATGGTTTAGTATTTTTGTAACTTTTGTAAGAAAAGAGAGAACTCAAGAAGAGAGTCATTGATACAATCTGATACAATAATGGCCTCTTAATGTTAGGATAAGCAAGAAGACAAAACAGGAATAACAAACAGAGTTAGTTTATGTCAGTGGGTGTTGTAATAGTTCTCGTGAAGACAAAGGCGGGACCACTCAGGTCAGGTTTTATGGAAGAGAGAAAATAATTGGGTTAGATTTCTGCAATATTTGCCTTGGCAAGTACATGTACTTGTATTTAGTTTGGACACTTTGCTTTGACTGAATTTAGTAGCTGGCATTTCTGACTTGCATAAAAGAGATCCTCGATTTTCTTTTGTTACCTGTAACTCTGTTAGTTATTTTCGGAGATCTTCTGAGCTTGTTTGTAGTGTTGCAAATGTATCATTGGTTTATTTGATTTTTCTAATTCTGTCATTCTATCGGTTTCTCTCTAAACTGGCGGGTGGAAGGAGGGGGGGGGGGGTGATACAGATTACAGATGCACATTGGTGGGGTGCCATTCCATTGCTGTGAACTCTCTGGCATAGGATGTCATCTTTTCTCTTTTACTTTGTCTTCTATCCTGTCAACTCATTGCCAGTGTGTCTGTAAAATGAGAGTTAGGCCTGCCAAAGACAAACCTCCATCCCAAACCTCAGAGGTCTGCCTTAGAAATGAACTTTATGTGTGTAGTCGGATGTTGAATCAAGTATTAAAAAAGTCTCTCTCTCTCTCTCTCTCTCTCTCTCTCTCTCTCTCTCTCTCTCTCTCTCTCTCTCCCTCTCTCCCTCTCTCCCTCTCTCCCTCTCTCCCTCCCCCAACCCACCCAAGTGGCAAGGGGTGTACCATTTAAACTAGTAATGATGAAGTAGCTCAAATGGACTCAAATATGACCTTCAAGCCATTTCCATTTTCTTGGCTTCCCTCTACTCTTACCATTTTTCTATCCTTGAAATGAATTTTTGGGTGTTTGTTTGAGTGTTACATATTTACAGGAGTATGGTAGTCATCTAACTTTGATGAGCTTTCTGTGTATTTATTGACATAGAATTTTGTGATGCAGCATCAACCTCTCTATGAGCAATCTACTCCACATACTTCTATACAGTCATGAGCAGGAAATACAGAAATTGTGTCTTTGTGTGTGCATTTTTACGTTAGAAAGTTACTTTCATCATTTTGCTGGCCTTGCATAATTATGCTAAAGATTAGATTTCCGTCCAGTGATTTTTGGAGAAGATTAGATGCGCTTTTGTTATACGGTCTGCCAATGCAGCATAATGATATAGCAAGTACTGTCTTTTGAGGCCAATTCATCGTCAAACAAATAACATCTTTTGATGCAGTTACAATTTTAGACAAATACCATCTGTTAAGGTTTTTTTTAAAATGTGAGCTAGTGTTTTTCTCTGTAGTATTTACTTATTCAAAGAAAACAAAATGTACTCATTCTCTGTGTTTTTTTTTACTTTAAGAGTCTTGAAACTAACCCCATTTTCAGGAAATGTTCAATATTGGACAGATGCATTGTTGAACCAAGACAGTTGCCAAACATAAACAATGTTTGTACCTATGTCTAATGTTGTTGTGAATATGCCATATATCGAGAGATGTAAAATTTATGGAGCATTGTTCGTGCACACTTTCATAATGCTACCTGAATTTAAGTGTTCTGATTCCTTTATCAAAATCATTTATCTATTTTGGGCTATCTTATATATAGCTGTTCTGTTGTCATTAACTTAATAACTATTTTCTGGAGTTTCATGAATTCTTAAAGTGGTTTTTAAAATTAATAATGCTTTTGGCAGCCTTCATGTTTACACGTGGTGTGAAGAAAGAATTCTTCAATAATGGATTTTACAAGAACTGCCTAAAATTATTTGCTTCAAAACAGATGAAAATTGAGAGGAATTTGTTTCTCAAATTATTCTTCAGTGATAATCAACTTGTGTCTGTGTATTTGGAAAGGATAAATGTCACCTCAGGAATTTAAGAATTTGCATCATTGTTTTTTGACTTCTCAAATTGTTAGTGCTGTTTTTAATTGTCTGCCATATTTAAAAGATGGAAAAGTGAAGTACCTCATTTGGTTGTGAAAAACTTCATATTTATTTATTCCTCAGGTAAAAGTGACCCATACTGTGAGGTTAGCATGGGGTCACAAGAACATCGCACAAAAGTTATTCCTGGAACTTTAAACCCTCGATGGAATGCATCAATGCAGTTTCTTTTACGGGATGTAGAGAGGGACACCCTCTGCTTTACGGTGTATGATCGGGACCTGTATTCTCCTAACGGTATGTCCTAGTCATTGGTGACTCACTCACTTGCCCGAACATGTTTTTCTGTATCTTTGAGCGACTTATCGATACAGTATAAAGATATAATTTGACAGATTTTCTGTTTTATTGAGGCTGATAACCAAGCATTTTCATTTAGGAATAAATTAACATAGTTTCGTAATAAATTTTTTCATAGGTATTAGAATAATTTGATTGTATACATGCTTATTAACGTAGTAGACCCAAAATTCCATGTTTTTAATTGTTATTTTCATTCTCAGATTTCTTAGGCCGCACTGAGGTTCGCATTAAGGATGTTCTAGACCAGAGTGGAGACAGGCGTGGACCAATAACTAAAAGGCTCATTCTCCATGAAGTTGAAACTGGTGAAGTTGTTGTGAAATTAGATCTGCAGCTCTACGAGCCATAGCATGACAAGTGTAGATGTTTTGGGAGGGGGATACATTTATTCTGCTGTACTCAAGTTACAATTTACTCATTTCCCTACCAAGCAATTTAGAAATGTTGTAAAACAGTGTGAAACAGTTTCAGGTGAATCAAGAAGGCTCTATATGTGCTGATTGTTTAATAAGATTATAACATTGTTCAAGTCATTCCAGAGGCATTGATGAGATATTGTCATAATGTGTAGAATTTGTTGCCATTTGTCTTTATGGTCACGTTTTTTTCCTCCACTCTTTCCTTCTTCACTCCGTATGTCATTCTCCCATTATTTGTGATGTTCTTTTGCTTTTCATCTGTCCTTTTCATTTCGTTTTCAACTTTGTTTGTAGTTAACTATTCTGCAGCATTGATGAACATATACTATTTCCTGCAGCCATGTCGGTCTGTTATTTGTTATCTGTCATGACTTTGAGGAGTCTCCTCTTGGCTGTCAGTTTAAGCGCAGTCTCTGGCAAGATGTGCCCATGTGGAAAAAAAGCTTCATGTAATAGGACTCTGGCCCCTTTTATTCTAAAAGAAACATAGTAATTAATGTTTGACAATCACCTTTATTATTATCTGTAGATGGTGGAACAGTGCTATATGAGAGAGAGTTTCTTATTTAAGAGCGTGTGAGGACTTTCTTCTCCCTTCATCCTGTGTTTTTTCCTGTCCATGTACTGAAGCACTGACAGAATGCCCACTTATTTTAGAAGTAAGACTAACAAAAATTCTGTTGCCACAAGAAACAATCAACAACAGGTTTTGTCATTTTTTGTATGCAGTTTTGTCGTCATAATACTCAGACATCCTAGTCACCTTTCAAAAACATTTCTTTTACTTTTAGCATCCGTGTGGCATTTTACATCTTTCATTTTGTTGCCATGGTTATAACAGGCTTTTTGCTTTTTTGTTTTGCTGCATTGTACAGTCTTGTTGATTTTTAGAATAAAAATCAGATTACATTTGCTTTTATTGTGACATCCTGGGCTAGTTTTTAATGCAGTTCAGCTGAATTGCCAGACAAAAAATATTCTTTTGATATTCAGTGTGCCAACTTCCTAGATTTCTATTTTTGTTCTTGGTGTGTGTCATGAAACCTACATTTCTCACTTTGTTCACATTGTGTGTATCAGCACTTTGCTGTCTCTTTGAATACAATGATCTAAACGATAACTCATGCTTCCTTCAAAGTGAAAACTTCTCTTCACTTTGTATGAATAGCCATACGTCTTCTACTTCAATAACCAATTTATTCACAGTGAATGTATATGCCTTTTTTGTATCTGCTCTTCCATATTACCTACCAAATCTTTGTATTGTCAGAAGTTTTGCTCAGTAGTAATTAACACATAAGTCCTTGTAGTGCATGCTTTTACACGCAAACTATATACTTTATACATATGTATGTGTTCCTTCACTCTAGAATCTAAATAAAACGTAAGTTTTCTTGTGTCTGGATAGTTGATTGACATCTGAAGGTGGGACAAGGACAACACAGAACAAGACTTGTGTTTCCAGCTTACATTAGCTGGTAGAAAGGAACTATTTTTTTCATTGTTTCCTGTTCATGCCATTTTCCTGTTTAAGCCTGCTTCTCCATTTAGAAACCAAACCGAGGTCTGCATATGGTTAGAATATAATGTTCTGTGTGTGTGAACTTTTGGTTTTACATGTATTTGTATTTTTTATCTGTGGCTGAGATTGAGATGCTTTAGATTAGCCGAGAGCCACCTTCATCAGTATCCAAATCCCCTTACATCCCCCCCCCCCCTTTTTTTTTCTCGAAAGATCTGCATTTTACTTACCTGTGAACATGTATATGTTGAAGACAGACCTGTGATGAAAAACAGTCATTACATTTTAAGTGATGGAATGTTTTTCAATTTGCTATCACTTTTGATGACAGTATTGCAACAGGGTTTGAATTCTCAGTGTTTGAAGTGTAAATGGTTTAGCATTATGTACAAAGTCATTATCCCTAACCTTTTTGTTTTAATGAATAGAGACAGTTCTTAGAATAATCTAGGGTGCAGAATTATATCCCAACAAGTATGTTAATTTGGGACAGAGAAACAACAGAGGAATTTAGAAATAAATTTTATACTGCTTGACCATCCCAGGAAGAATCCGTTCGAGGAATAATCTCCCAGCCAGCATCCTTTTAATAAATTGGTTTGTGTTGAACCTCGAGACTCAGACCAAGGATAAAAAGGGCTGGAATGGATATGTCTTAAAGTTAAAAGGATGAAAGCAATGTGTGATAAAAAATGATCTGAGAGATGGATGAAAATATAATCAATTTTCAGTGGTTTGTGCAGTTGACATTCAAGCAAAACAGCTTCCACTTGATGGGAATGGTTTCTAGGGAGACAGTTGAGATGTTTTCTGTTTGATCTGGTTAGTCCTTCAACTGTCTATGAGTGTTTTCTCAATCATTCACAATAGTGCTTTTGATGATTGGTTCAACTGTACTTTAGTCTCTGTCTTATGCAACATAGTCTCTTTTGAAAAGGGTTCAAATAAGTAATTTAAAATCATGTGAATTACAGAGCTCCACTGGGCTCCTAATTAAAGAGAATCTTAAAATCTCCTGGAATACTTTTTTTTCTTTCTCATTCTTGAAGCAGGTTTGATGAAAGTCCATGTAATAAAAATCTAAATCACTAGCAAATTTCAAAATTATTTTGTTTTACTTTTTGTTATTTCTTCCAAGCTTCCTTGGTACTTGATAATACTATTTGTTTGCACTTATGCATTGTATTTTTAACTGTGACATTATTTGGTCCTGGACGGTCCACACCACATTAGAACTTTTAAATTTTATTTCTGAATGATTTTTGTGATAGCACAATGTTAAGTAATATCCAAAGACGAAATTGAAGCCACCATTTTGTGTGACCAAATCCAAATTTCCTTTTTGTAAAATAATCTTGAGGATGTAAACACAGATCATGGACTGTTGTGATTTCTTATTAGATACTTTTATTGATGTTAGTGAACCTTGTTTGTTTTCAGTAGTATGAAGAATATACAGGCTGTTGATTATATTAGCCTACATGGTGTTGGATTGTGTATTCATTTAAACATAGTGAAACAACAAATTCAGGAAAAATATTGTTGCATGTGATGAATATTATTTTTTGCCGCATATTTTTTAAAACCTATTATATATGTTACTGTTGATAATTTTTATGAATACCTTAGTCAGTATATCTGTGATCTTGGCAGGTCACATGTATTTTCATGTCGTGGAATATTTTAAAACCAAATTATAGTATAGCTTTTTTGAGCTCTCCTCTCTCTGTTTATCTCTGTCTTTATATGTTTCTCTCTCTCCATATTCCTCCACTCTCTTTATCGTAATTTCATGTCTTATCTGATGCAAACTATTTTTTTTTGTAGTGATTGCCTATTTTATGTAATTGACATCAGTGGTACATATATGTGAGGCATGATGGTGAAATCAGGCGCTCATCAAAGTAATGAAATTGAAGAAACTGGCATTTTTCCCACCAATTTGGCAATTAAAAAAAAAAATTTTAACGTGTTGCTCAGCACCTTTTGTGCCCATCTTGTTGGATTTTACTGAAAAATGTTGATCACAGGTACCAAAATTGTAACTTTCTAGTGTCCAGGGGTATTCGAGCTTTGGAAGTCACCAAACTTTGGCAGCCATTTTCTCTCTAATTTTAACTATGATACCAGGAGACCTCCACCTCCTTCAATTAGAAATATCTCGATTTCTATTCAAGATAGATGGGGATTCTTTTAATCGAAAGCAAGTCAAATGAACAAGCTTTAAGATTATACCTATAACTCCCTCTGATGATGGGCATGATCAGCAAGCCAACCCTTTCATGGATTCTGGAGAAGAGGGAGGAGCACCTTTGGCATTGTACTGCCTGTGATAATACTAATTCTCCTACCAATTACCAATGACCAATAACTTCTTATGCCCAAAAATTGACGAGCACCTGATTCCACCATGTCATGACACCTGTATATATATACACATACAGTTACTCTGTGACACTTAAAGTACTTTGGGATTTGGCTATTAGTATTAGTGCTGTCCTGACGAATGGGGTGACTGTATAATGAATATATATGTATTTTTTAAATGTTAAAAAATCGCTGGAATGTTGCATGAAACAAAACTGATTTTTTAAAAAAATTTTGGCCCCGTTTTGATCTGATTGTGATCTGCACCTTATTGTGATAAGCTTACAAGTTTCAGTTGAAAAACTTTGATGACTGATTTATTCACATTGACCCCCAACCTACACCACTCTTTAGTGATGTCTTCGTGTGAGGATTGTTCCTCCACATTCAATAACCAGTGGCTGACCGAATCAATTACTCCAATGATGAGTCTGTATAATCTTAAACTTCTCATACTGTAAAGAAATAACCAAGTTCAAAGATTCAATCTACCCTATGGAGCAAATGGGTAGTGCCCTCATTTGGTGAGTTATAAATGTTTTATGCTTGTGATCAGACTGTGACTTTTTCGAGTGTGATACACTGTCGACTTGTGGTTTTACCTGTCTTTCTTGAAATTGTTGCCTTGACTTACAAAAAACAAAAGCAAACACTGATTTTCAAGTGGGCCTGGTGTGTTTTGCTGACATAGCATTTATTGTTTCTGCTCTTTTTCATGTACATAAAAGTTCTTCTGTCCCCACCATGGGATTAGTAGGTTTTTATCTTCAGAAAAAAATGTTAGTTTGATATTCTTTTAAGAAGAAATTTTAGAAATCAAACCTCAACTTGCTCTTCATGTGCTGGTACTGTTATATAAAGGTTATTTGGCCACAGTTTTAAAAGGAGCCATTGCACCTTAAAACTGATTTCTAAAGATTTGAGGACTTGTTCTCTCGATTCCTATACTTGACAGTCTCTCTGTGAAACAGTAAATTTATTTAGTGTATTCAAAACTTTAATCATTTAGATAGAAGATACTCTCCCAAAAGAGACCCCAGTTCAATCTATCCCTTGTGTAGTATAGCTGTGAGGAGATACTCACAACCCACCTGTGAATCTGTGGGAGGATGTCAAAAAGCTATTACTGTAACGACTTTTTTCCAAATTTAAAATGACATTCAGTGTTTGGTTGTGTATTTGTCAGCAATGTCTTAAAATTTTTCTCTAAAAAGGACTCAGTATGTTCTAATAGGCTCCTGGAATTGGTGGACTGATTTATGATCTGAGATGGTTTGCTGTGTGAGGGATAAAAGGTATCAAATTTATGTGAATTGTTTTCACTTTGTCTAAGTTAAATTTCTTTATAGGTAGGCAAAAAGAACCAGATTGATGACTTTTGTATCAGTTTCGGACAAACCCACACAGATTCTCAGGTAAATGATGTTAAGTCAAATCTTTTGCTTTTATGGGCTTTTTTGTCAGCATTTATTATTAAAAGAATATTATGTGCAGTGCTTCCAAAGAACATAGAAAATAAAACACACTAATGATGTGAACAGTTACAACAACAACGGTGTCGCAATTTTCAGTTATTTTTAGTATTGTGGTAGAGGTATCGCAGTGTGGAGGTCCATTCAAACCAGTTGGCCTTCATTTGAGGCGTTCGTGGTCTCATGTGTTTCTCAAATGTTACTTATCATGTTTTGCTATGTAATTCTGCATATATGTGATTCAGTCACTCAAGAGCATCAGTTGATTGCCATAAGATAAGAGAACTATGACGACGTACTGAAAGTACATGTATTATGTGTTCAAAGCAAAGATCATTCTATTATAAAAAGTTGTGGTCAGAGTTATGCTTTCCTATCCATTAGTGCCAGTGGTTGTTCTAAGAGTATGGTACATTCAATAATTTCAGTTGATAGGTCAAGTCCCTCCCACTCTCTTGAATACTTTCTTTCTACACACATGTCTGTATCTTGTCTTTCTTTTGTTTTCACAATGCTTCACAATTCTGTTCCTTTTGGTTTATCAAACTTGATGAAATGTGCAAATTAGCATGATTAATAATGATTCTAAATAGCACTTAGCTGCATTCGTTACTTAACAATTTATTGTTTTTCAGTATTGTTTGAAAAGCTGGTAAAGATATCTTGGCACATTTACTGCCCTGGCAGCATCTCAACAAAGCCTTCAAATGGTGGTTGTGTTTTAGGGTATATTCCTTTTGAATCCCGAAATGTGAAATGCAGTATAGTTTGATGCATTGATTTTAAAAATTCTTTCTCAGAACCTTCAAATAAGAATTTGTCATTCTTGTAAGCCTATGTGTCATGCTTGCCATAGCACTGTTGGCTAATGTTCAATATAAAGTTACTGTCACACAGCATATCAGTGACTCCAGTGCTTTTACTTGACCTATAAAGCAGGGTCAAACTGAGTTTCTTGTGAAAAACAGTGGTGATAAGCAGTGTTTTCATGAATTATAAACACAATTTCTCTCATAACAGTGAAAACATATGTTTTTCGTAAAAGTATTGTGTAGGTTTGTGGTCCCTCATACATTGTGTTAAGGCTTAGCAACTGGTCAAATAGAGCTGTTTTTTTGCATTTGTCATTGTATGGATATTCAGCAAACACGTATGTCTGGGGCAGAGTTCATTTTTCTGTATATTCATATCCCTCAAGACACGTTTCATCGGTTTGTGATATCGAAATGCGAGAATTTGATTTGTTTGACATCTGTGTTAAATATTGATTATTTGACTCAGTGTTTCTCTTCTGTTATTGACTTGATACCATCATACTTTTTAATCTATATCTCACCTTTCTATCTCTGAAGACTTGTGACCAAAACAGTTGAACAAAACAAGTTGTTAGGCTTCTTTGGAAGACTAATAGAGTCCTTTCTCTTGATATTGGACATTTTATGGGGATGAAATTCCAACGATGACCCATTTTATGATGTTGCTGTGTGTTTGCATGTGTGCTTATAAATCAGACAGAGAAGAGAGTGGTTTAAGGAAGAATGTTTTGTGTGAATGTGGGTGTGTGTGTGTGTGCTTGTGTGAGAGACAGACAGAGACAAAGAGAAAGAATGAATTACTTACTTCGTCCTAGTTCTGCCTGAGCACAGTGGTTTAGTGATCAGCGGAATGCTTGAAACTGAGTTGTAAGTGATCGGATTCATTGTACATTCGTTTTGGGGGTTTTTTGCCAATGGGTTCTTAAATGTTGAAAAGAAGACTAAGTGCAAAAGTCTGATTCAATAATGTGGCGTGATTTATACTTATACTTGTCTTTTAAAAAACTGATTTTACACCAAGGTCCACAGGGGATGTTAGTGATTATAATTGATTCATGGGATTGTATCATGTTGTAATTTGGTTCATAAATTGTTGGTGCATAAGCTGTCATTTATCATTTTAATTGTTTTTTATCTCTTTTTTAACCATTTTGTTCATTTGTTATAATGTCTCTTATTTGAATTGAAATATAACTACAAAAAAACGCTTCTTTATAAGAAATGAGGATCTTATGTTTTTTGTTTTTTGTTACGATGTTTTTAAGATCCATTTGGAATGCTGATTCCGCTATGTGGAGTTTTGGGGTTATATTTGTACCTTGTAATTGTGATGTAGTGGTTATGCTTTTTCTCGTAAATGCAGAAGGCATCATGAGTTCAGTTCTCAAATAAGGAAAATATTTCATCGAGTATTCCTATTTTCAACTGATAGCCTAAATTAGCTCAGATAGGCTGGATCAAAGCATTGAGAAGGGGGGGAGGTGTTAGACCGATCAACACGGAAATGATTCAACTTGTTAATATTACAGTGGAACAGAAAATACTGCATCTGTAAAATTCTCAAAATTTTTTTACTTTCTAACATTGCAGTTGTTGATTTACAGGTACCTTTTATTTGAGTGAAAATTCATATTATTTTTGCTCCCAAGTTTCTACAAGGGTGCTCTCAGTCTCCGAAAAATTGGTAAATTGTCATGGTCAGTACCTTTGACCATCATATGTTTTTATTTGAGAGCCCTGTGTGGAGTGTGCTCCATAAATAGATTTCTGTGTCTCGGGGCTTGTCGTCTGGAAAAAGCTTTTTTGAGTTTTTTTTTTTTTTTTAAAGGCGGGTCAATTTTTTGTCAAGAGCCCATATCCCCTTTGAAAACAAAACCTGAGCAGCAGATTTTCAATTTGCAAACCTCCATTTACTTTCAATCGTGTTCTTGTGCCATTCCTGTCGTTTTAAAAAAATCGGCCTACAACCTGCCATTTTATGCTTTCATAGTATTCTGCAGTCAGTTGTTCTAAAAACTATAAAATATGTTATTTGATGGCAGACTGTTCTAAGATTAGAACAGCGACTTTAGACACACGGGCTTTGAAGGAAAAGGTTTGGTCTAAAGAATCATCAACAAGCTCTCTCTCAAGCAACCAGCTTGTGGTGGTTTTTTAATATGATGCAAGGAGCTAAGAATTCATAAATTTCTTTCTAACATTTTGTTAGTGAGACTGCTGACATCATTTGTAGTGCTTTGATATAATTTTTCAATTTATAATGATTTCAAAATGGTCAAGAACTTTCTTATTCTCATGAGACCAGGCCTGAGTTTTCTGCTAACACAAAAGCCAACAGGACTTTGGTTCTGTGAGAATCATAGCTACTTGGAAAAAATTACACAAGCCTATTTTTTCTGCTTTAGAGGGTGATAACAAATTTGTTAAACATGATAGAGTTAAATATGTAGGCCTACTATTCCTTGATTTTATTCTTCAGTTTGAATTTTCAGCTTGGAACAATATCATAATGGATGAAAAATTAAACCTGCCATTATGGATTATTCTTAAAGATGTAAGGAATAAAAAAGTTATTGCATCACCTTCTAAGCACAGTACCTTGCCATAATTCTTAATTATTATGTGGCATAACAGCTTGGCTGAAGGTGCCATCTTTGGAAAAAGTTCTTCTGTCTTAATTTTGTCTTTTGTCATAGAGTAGATCAAATACTTTTGAGGCACGCACTGCTGTACACATTACTTAGCAACTAACACCTGCTTGTCACTATAAGTTCTAAGCATACCACATTTGTGTTCATAATGAGTTTTGTTTTACTGTTTTACTGTTTCACTCTCATTATTACTACTTGTACCCTTCTTTGTGTACTAAATTAATGGCTCAAATCTGTCTTTGTGTGTAAGCTAAGACTATCCAAGAATAATTACGCACATCATGACCATACTCCTATACGTCGAAATGAGTTTTTCATGCCATTCTTCGGAATCACAATATTTTTATAATATGTACCTGTCTTAGCTGATGAAGGAAGTATTTTCTATTTGCAGTTAGGAATAGTAAAGTGATGATCTGATGCTGTTTTGGGAATTTTTTTCATCTAGAAAGTGTTTGTATCATATATCAGTAACTTGTATATTATTATGCCATAGTTGTTAAAGACCTGCTCGAAAGTTTTTTCTTCTCTAGAACCTTTTTAATCATTTCCCTTTTTGGGGATTCAACCTGTGGGTGAATGAATAGTCCAACAATTTATTCCGACAGCTTCTAAGTCATTTTATCCTTAAGAATAGGCCTACCACGTTTGTTTATTTTGTGCAAGCCATTTTTTTTCAATCTTATTTTATTTAAGATTTGAGTGAAACGTTTGGAGAAATTTCAAATAAAATTCATGGATGTTTATTATAAAAATTTTGAAGTCTGATCTTGTACTGAGATTTTTTTAGAAACTATATCAATGAGTTTTGTTGTTTTTTTCTTGGCACCAATGTCCACTAAAGGGAGGGAGTTGAAGTAATGTTAATAAATATTGTGGCTTTCAAGCCAGAAATTTTACTGCCAATGCTCTCTCCTGAGCTTAATCAATGCTGGCTAGATCTGTTTGGGGGTTGTTGTTTTTTTTGTGGGTTTTTTTTTATCTGTTTGTGAAAAGCATATGGAAAAGTGAATGACGCCATGATAAGTTGGTGTTAGAATAAGTATATTATTGATTGAGTGATTCCAAGTTGTTGTTCGTTACATGATATATTGTTTAAGACTTATTATTTTGCAAGTGATATTTTTGTTACACATATATTCTACATGAATTTCTTGTTCATTTATGAACTGTCCATCTGCTTTCATGAGATACTGACAAATGAGATGAAAACAGCAGAATACTAACCCACAAGGGGATTGAATTGTGTGTTTAGTATTGCTTTACCTGTTTGCTTTAGGGCTAGATATAAGGTGTGTGGGGTGTCTTTTTTTCTTGTAAGTTTTTTGGTTTGGTTTGGATTTGTTTGGTGTTGGTTTTTAAAGAATATCTGAGTGTGTTCGAACCTTGACAAAAGTTTTATATTTTTAGGATTGCAGGAAGGCATAATTTCAATTAAATGGCAAGCACTTCATTTTTAAATTGCTGTTTTGTGGAGTTTTGTGAAAGGGCAAACACAGATGTAGTTGAATTTCAAAGCAACAAGATAATTTACTGTACCTGTGTGATGCTTGATGAGAAACTCAGAATTTAACACAGTTAATGTTTTTGGGGTGTTGTTTTTGTTTATTCATTTTCTAAATTGTCATGAAATCCGGAACACTGTACGTAGTTGTTGCGCATTCATTTATTGACCATTAATAAATTACACTGTTTCAATGTAACTGTTGTTTTTCACTCTTTTCGGGGACATCGTTTTTGGAGTGCCAAACGTTCTCCTAGACAAGAAAAAAAATGTGAGACAAAAATGTTTACATCAGGCAAGAGATAGCAGCAGTTCGCCAAATTCTTGGATGGTTCGGAGGTGTAGAAGTAGAAGGGGGTCAATGATTTAGAGGATCATGATTACTCTCTCTCTCTCACTCTCTCTCTCTCTCTCTCTCTCTCTCTCTCTCTCTCTCTCTCTATCTATCTCTCTCTCTCTCTATCTATCTCTCTCTCTCTCTCTCTCACTTTCTCTCTCACTGGGCATGCCGTTGGCTCAATTGGTATTATACTGGGTTGTGGTTCAGATGACAGTAGATTGAATCCCCAATAGGGCATTCTTTAACTTGAATTGATTGGAGAGTTTTCTAGGCCTGAGATCGGCGCTTACTTGACTCGGGCTTACAGGAGATGAACAGATTCTCTTATATAAATTTTACATTGTTGAAGAGGGTAGGCCTATATAATAATATTATTATATACACTCATTAGCCTATCGTGAGTCTCGAGAACTTGATCTACGTTTATCCAGTTGCCCCTCCCCTTTACCTCTCCAAAAATTCTAGCTTTCCATATATATTATGATCGAACCCCCCCCCCCCCCCCCCCCCCCCCCGCCTTTGTCGTTACGCACCATCACGTTGTGACCACACCACAGAATTCTACACTACTTAGTGTAGAATTCTGTGGACCACACCAATTAAAATTCAGGCTGTCTCGCAAATTCGGGAATAGAGAAAAACTGCCTTCGATGGTCAGAGAAGAGTTCACAGTTCGATGTGATCCTGCCTGGAACGAACTTGTAGGCCCTTCCCACCCAGCGAGTGGTGTAAGTTTAGGTGGCGAGCTCAGATGCGAGTGCAATTAAGGTGTGGGGAAAACAAACTCGTTCGGTCTAGGCGTTCATAAAACCGTTTTTATGACCGCCTAGCGTTCGGTTAATTCACAACTCGGTGTGATCCCTTCCGGAGCAAACATTGTACCGTTTCATCGAGTTTTACAACGCTTGTGATCACATTCACGAGAGTGGCTGATCTTTGACGCGACGGGCAGATCTTTGATCTCAACTTTAACACTCTTGCATGGTTGATCGGCTGTGCTCGCCCGGGTGTTTGTTCCGTAAATTATTATCAGAAATGCCGGCACTTATCCTTTCATTAAGCTTCAAAAGTACTCAAAATGTACTTTAAAAATACTCAAAAGTACTTTTATAAAAAGTATCGGAGTAGAGTAAAAGTACTGGTTCTCAAAAGTGTACCGGAATACAGTAGAAGTACCTAAAATTGCTTTGCTTGTACTCCGTTACAACCAGCTCTGTTGGTGACAGCTGGAAGCTTTCGATCTCTTTCCATATATTATTATTATATCGGTAATAATGTTTACATTCTCGTCATGACGGAATGTATGGTGAATAAGGAAAGTGCCACGATATCGCATTCTGCCCTCCCTCTCTCTGTTTTTCTCTTTCTCTCCCCTCCCCCTCTAATATATATCTTTGTGTGTTTGTATGTGTGTGTGTGTGTGTGTGTGCGCGCGCGCGCGCGCACTCGGTAGAGAGACAAAGAGTGAGAGGGAGAGGGGGGGTGGGATTTAATAGGAATCTTATGTTTTTGCTTATTATGTATGCATTAACTCTTAGTTTACGGAAGGCTAAATATCCTGGGCCTCTTCTCGGATCTGTACGCAGCCAATTTCGTCAGCCAAGATTTCAGCATCACAAACTTCCTTTGCATAAAATAAACACCAAACTCAGCACAAATAAATGACCCAAGCAGTAAAATACAGTTTGTTTATTATATGAATTTGCCGAGGTCTGTTGGAGTCTTGTTATGACTGCCGTGAGTCCACACTGAACTGGCGACTGCCGCGCCGTTAACAAAGAGTTAATAAAAGTAGTTAACGAAATCAAAGCAACCAACGCGTTCTGGTTGTTTACATTACAAAGCATCTGCTGTGCTTCACGGAGTAGGCGGCGGCCTAGGCCAAGCTCGCTAGTATTTTTACATGTCATCATAGAAGACCTGAGTCACCCTTAGACTTAAATTGTCAAAACTGCCACTCATAGATCTGTCTTTGAAGAACAAGAAGCCCACTGCAATGGCACACCAAGAATATAGTCACTTTCCAAATGGAGATGTTATTTTCCTAGATCGTGGAGATGGTTCATCAGCTCTGGTGCATTTGTTTGGTAAGTTGCCACGATTCTCTTACTTTTCGGCAAATAAATGCTTTATTGACCGGTTTATTGTATACCAGCTACAACCATCTCATGGATGTTGATCTTTATTTTTCACTATAGGTCAACACGTTTCAATGTGAATGGATTCGTTTCTGCACCATAGAACCATGCGTAGGCCTATAATTTTCGATTTTGGGGAAATGGGTATACAGTCGAAGCTGTCCTGACAGCCATCTGTACAAACGGCCACTTTCCATTTCCCCCCTTTTTTCTATATAATTTAACTGTGTAAAACGGGCACCTGTCCAACACAGCCGCGGCAACCATATTTTAACACACACAACCCCTATTACACCAAGTAATTTTATAACACCTGTGAGGTTAGCATGTCCTCATAACCCATTTAAGCCCTGCCCAGAACTCATCAAACTCAAATCGTAAGTGAGATGAGGGTTCACTGTTTACCCAGTCTGTAACAAAGTAACAAAGGACGTCAACATGAACCCGTGACAGAAGCGTTGCCCGTTCTCCAAGTGCATGGCGACTAATGAGTTTGTTTTAACATGGCGCTCTGTCTTCCTTGTCTGATACATTTTGTAAAATTGTTTTATTGTCACCCTTGCGCAAAATCCGCAACAAAATAAAAACAACAAACAAAATGCAAACCAACAACAACAAAAACAACAGCAATACGGCTACTTTCGATTGGGACCTCAGATGGGAATGGTTTGAGGTTTTTTTCATTTTGATCAGTCCCCTAAGACAGCCACCTGTCTTACAGCCACTTTTCTCCTTGACAATGGGTGCCCGTCTTACACAGGACTGTATAAGTGGCCCACAACAGTCGACAGTGTCCAGAACACCCATCCAGGGTCAGGAGTGTTGCTTCACTTCCACATTAGAGTCTATTTTTAAAAATGTCAGCCCCAAACCTCCAACAATGAGTTCCCTATCCTTTAACCTTTCAGGGAAACACCTCCCTCTTTGGAAGATGAGGACCCTGTGGATAAACTTTTACGCATATTTTGTCCTGAAGGGTGCACATAGTTCAACAGAGGTGGCTTTCTACATTTGGTCTTTGTTTGTCAACCCAGAGGTCTGAGGTTTGATCCCTGCCAGTGTCAGGGTTTTTTTTCACATGTTATTCAACACAGGAGCTTGCCACATTAGTGGAGCGGCTGGACACAACCTCAGCAGCCTGCGGCATGGAGATCAGTGCCGAGAAAACCAAGCTAATGACCAATAACACCAATAGCATCAACGCGGACCTCAAAGTCAGGGGCGAGAAACTTGAGACCGTCAACAGCTTCAAATACCTCGGATCTATCGTCTCTGATGAAGGCTCAAGACCAGAAATTATCTCCAAAGTCCAGCAAACAACAGCTGCGCTGTCAAAACTGAAGCCTATCTGGAGGGACAGAAACATGCACAGCTAAAAAATTAGACTAATGCGCTCATTGGTCATCTCAATATTTTTATACGCCTGTGAGTCGTGGACACTAACAGCAGAATTTGAGAAAAAGATTCAGACCACAGAGATGAGATGTTACCGCAGACTCCTTGACATCTCGTACAAAGACCACATTTCAAATGCTGAAGTACGAAAGAGAATCACCAACGCAGTGGGGCAATATGAAAATCTACTGACCACAGTGAAGAGACGAAAACTAAAATGGTATGGGCATGTCACAAGATCCACAGGACTTGCCAAAACAATCCTGCAAGGAACCGTACAAGGAAAGAGAAAGAGAGGAAGGCAGAGAAGGATATGGGAGGACAACATTACAGAGTGGACAGAAAAGACGATGGGTGACAATCTGAGGAGAGCAGAGGACAAAAATAGATGGCGAGAGCTGGTTTTCAAATGCAGTGGTGCCCCAACGGTTGCCCCAACCACGGGATAGAAGAAGAAGAAGATTCAACACCCCCTGATCCACATATAGGCAGGACTGAGCAGTTTAGACGCAGTCTTCTTGGATCTGATAAGTAGGCCTACAACAAATCTCAGAGATCCCATCAGAATTTAGAAGTTCCACACGTCACGTTCAAGTTCCCTTGGCCTTTTAGTTTTAGTTTTAGTAGAGATTTTACAGCTCTCGCAATTGCATTTATAAGGTCACATGAGCGCCAAGAGGTGGATGTCAACAGAGAAGTCCTTGGCTTACAGGGAATCAGACTGACTCTGCTCACCTCTCTAGCTTCAACAGCACAAAGTCTGCTTCGACTATCAAGGCACCCTGGAAATAGTGGGTCACAAAAATGTGACAAACATACAAAAGAAGTAGAGGAAAAATGACGATAGTAAGGATTAGGAAAGAAAAAGCAGCAGTTCCCTGTTGTAGACCAGGCACAGTTATATGAGCGTGACATTGATGAATCAGCCCTTTTACAATTCTACTGTGCATGAACGAGAAATGTCCCCCCTTTGGAAATGGCCTAAAGACACTTCAGTCAGTGGCACCAGCCCAGGGGTTCCCTTAGCCTTGATGATTCTAAAACCGAAAAGTAAAGAGTAATTAGTGGGATCTTGTGGCTGTCTGTCCAGCATGGTATGGTAATTGGTTCTACTATATAAAGATAAAATGGCCTTTCATGTAAAAATGGACTCCACTTCTGTGAGAGGAAGATCTTTCAGTCGGCCACTCCCAGAGCTCTAGCAGGGGTACGAGAGGAAGAAGAATTTTAGAATGTACTATGTTACAGTATTTGCAATTCAGATACCGTACCGAGGCTCTCTTAAGAGATCGAGGTCCTTAATTTTAAAATCCAAAATAAGTCTGACAAAATTTAGTTTTTAGCTTTCCATTCCCAGATTTCGCTTTCAGCTGGGATGATGGAGTGAATATTCAAGTTTTCTTAAATTGTACAAGCACAGAGATGGTTGGCTGCATAAAGTTAAATGTAATATTATTTTGTTTTATACAGGTGCTACCTTGCTGTCTTGGAAATGCAAAGGCCAAGAGAATCTTTTCGTAAGGTAAATTGCATTTACAAAAGATGCGTGTCAGTACATGGGTGTGTGTGTCTGTCTGTGTATGGTTGTATGTGTGATTGCGCACATCCATGCTTGTGTGTATGTGAATTGTATCGCTGCACCAAGCCTTGCTTGAAATTTAATTTTTAAAATAAGAGCATGAACTTGTGGCCTAGTGGCCCAAAGTACAACACTTTTGATAAGGTTTTTCACTGGCTGAAACAGCAAACATTTGTTATCAGGTGCTGCAATGTTATATTTTTTAGTTATTTCAATTTGTAGAAGATCAACATCTTTTCAGAATGAAGAAAATCATCATCATCATAGCTTTTCTCACCCTGGATCAGGATATAGGCCACAAACAAACACTTTCCACCTTTCCCTATCCTGGGCTAGTCGCTGATGTTACTCCCTGTCTTCTCATATTTCTATACATATCCATTTCCATGACTCTTCTCCAGGTTTCACATGGTCTTCCCCCTGGTGTTTTACCCTGTGGTTTCCAATCTAACACTTTCCTTGTTATGCAGCTGCTTGACTTCCTAAGAGTGTGTCCAATCCATCGTCAACGCCTTCTGCCCACCTCATTTCTGACTGGGCTCTGTCTTGTTCTTCTTAATACTTCTCATTAGTGACCTTGTCTGTCCACCTGATTCTGATTCCTTAAACACTTGTTCAAGAAAACCTGGATCCTCTTTATGCAAGTCTAAGATGCGTTCCATGGCTCACATCAATACAGCAAGACTGACTTCACATTTAAGTTGAAAATCCTCAGCTTTGTTCGTAGTGAGATATCCTTGGTCCCTCAAATCTTATTCAAAGCTATAAATTCAGTCTGTGCCTTTCCGATGCGAGACTTTATTTCAGCGCCTGTTCCTCCCTCTCTGTCAGTTGTACTCCCAAGATAGCAGAAGGATTCGATGTCTTCAACTTCAAGTATATTTTCCTCTATTGTGATCTGCTCCTTTCGTAAAACATATATCCTTAGGACTTTTGACTTTCCAGGGTGGATTCTCAATCCACCTGCAGAGACGAATGAAGAAAATTCATTTTAAATAAAGCTTGTTTGTATTGATTTACAACATGTCTTCGTTTCTGAGTTGACCTAGAGAAGTAACAAAGTTGTAAATTTTTTTATGGCTCCATTGATGCAATTTAGAGAGTTGTAAAGGAGGCAGTGCTGTTTTGACCCTGCCTATCAGGACCTACTATAGATGTAAGAAGTATGACATCCCAACAAAAAGATATAGTATAGATACTCTAAAAGATATTTTCCCTGTGTGGAAATGGAACTCGCATAAAACTCGCATAAATATCTCTTGTGTGCTAGGTAAAGACCTTTATCAGTACACCACAGACACTGGTCTACTAAAAGTAGAATTCAGCTGCTTATGTAGTGCTTTAAAAAGTGCATGCTTCCTTTCAGTGAGGTTTTAAGGCAAATTGCTGTGACAACAGTCACATTTTGCCAGATCAGACAATAGCAACACACAAAATATTGAATGAACAAAGAATTCACCAAAGTGCCCAATACCCACCCATCAAGAGATCAAACATTGTCATATACATATTTTAGTATAATGTACAAACTCAGAATACAATTTATTTTTATTTCTGCACTTTATTGTACAATTGTGAGGCAGCGTGGTGAAATCAGACGCTCGTCAAAATAATGGAATCAAAGAAACTGGCATTTTCCCGCCAGTTTGGCAATTTTTATCAAATTTTTGTTTTTTGACTCAACACCTTTTATGGCCAATTAAGAACAAATTTTTGAGCGGATATTAATGAAAAATGTTGATTAAAGGCACAAAAATGGTAAATTTTCAGTTTCCAAGTACTCTAGAGCTATGGAAATCACTAAACTTTGGCTGCCATTTTTTGGATAATTTTACCTCTGAAGCCAGACAACCCCACCTTTTTCAGTTGCAAATATCTTGACTTCTATCAACGATAGATAAGTAATTTTTCATCAAAAGATAGACAAATGAACAAGCTTTACGGGGATATCAATAACTGTACTTGTCCAAATATTGACAAGCGCCTGATTCCACCGTGTTGTGACACAATTGTGGATCAAGATATTGAAGTGAGGAGTGCTGTGAAAAATTGTTTGAACAAATAGAATTTTTCGTCGAAGAGGCTCAAAAACTAAGTTCTTTATTGAGAATGAGAAGGGGTCTGCTCCTGTTGTCAGACTCTATAACTTAAATGGATGGAAGATGAATGGGGGGGGGGGGTGTCTTGCCTCTTTTATATATATGTATGGGCCTATATATTTATATATATTTATTTTGCATGGATTTTTTTTCTTTTCAAGCTCTACTTCTAAGTTTGACAAGAAGAAAGCCATTCGTGGAGGAGTACCGGTTGTATTTCGTGAGTTGTGGTTCGCAATTCTTTTGAAAGGAGATTACCTGTGTTTACCTGTGTTTTCCTTATTTTTCCAATGTGCTTTTATTTAGGTTTGAATTTTTAGTTCTGGGCTTTTGGCTGGAAATCTTTTATTTTCATACTATAAGACAGCTGTTTTGGTTAAAAAAATTTATATGATTATTGAAGTTCTGAAATTATTAAACTTTTGCCAAATTTAATCACTGTGGTTTCTTCTTGAGTCGTAAGTTAAAAAGTATGGTCATACTCATAACATAATTTTAATATTGTTTTTTAAAATGTCTACCATGATTACTGTGGATTGTTGTTGATGATATAAATGTGGCTGTGGAACACTTACAAGATGCAGCAGTCTAGGGTTCAAATCCAAGTAGTTAGATTTGAACATTTAAGTCAGTACATTTGTACAACCAACTCTTGAAATTAATTTATTCATAAGGTGTAGACTACTTTCGACCTGATTGATAAGATTGCTCTTTCAGTAATGGTTTGGCAAATATGTCCCATTTCTTCTCTTCATATATAAAGACTTATTTACTCTGCTATCTGAAGTCTTTTACTTCAGTGTGCCTGCCAATAATCGAATTCACCTCTGTTGGATTTCCCTAGAAAGATATTTCAAGATAATATTCCTCTTGACAGGTAGTCATGATATTTGTTTGAAGTCACACATGAGCTTAGAAAGGGTCTTCTAATTTTTTTTTTTTTCAGCAAATTTTGGACCTTGGCCTCTGGGACCTCAGCATGGATTTGCAAGGATCAAACCATGGACAGTGTCTATTCCTCCCACTAAGGTAACAAATTGCAGGTCTTTTCTCCCTTCCTATATATTCTTTCCCCCTGTAGTGTAACTTCTTCTTCATTACAGATGCCACCAGTGCAGTTTGGATAAACTCCTTTTTCGCCAGTGTGCAGAGAATATTTATTTTCTTTCATGCAATGTAGATATCTGGAGTGCTTATCTACCGATGTTCATGTCATCTCAGATCTTGTCCAGTGACCATGGTCTCATAGTTGCAGAAAGAATATTTAAAATATCATGTGTAATTTTATTCAAATGGAAAAGCAAATTCTCTGTGCTTTGTGTCAGTTTGCAAGGCTATGTTTTATCCTTTTTTTTCAGGGACAAGACGGAAACGTCCTCACTGTTCTGTCTCTGGAGGATGATGAAGAAACAAGAAACATGTGGGACTACAAGTTAGTAATGACTCGTAACATCCATTGGTTTATATCAAGGGTCACCAAACTTGTTTCCAAGTGGGCTGGATAACTGAGAAAATGCTGAGTGCGGGCCAGATAATTATTTTACTCAATACATGACACTGAATGCTTACAAAAATAAAGAAACCAACCTATTGATTTATTAGTGCCCAAAATACACCAAAAAAAGGCAAGAAATATAATTTATTATGTATGCTGCACTAAATACTAAAAGTCATCAATGTAAGTAATGTTACAGTAAGGTAGTTATTGTGGACTGGGGTGTCTGTGGACTGCCTGCCCACCCTGAGAAGGGGCCATTCATGTTGAGAATAGGAGGGTACGAGGGATAAGATAGTTATATGCACCTGGAATGTTCATACAATGTACAAGGCAGGGAAGGCTCTGCAGGTTGCAAGAGAGATGGAGGCCTACCAACTTGCTTCAGGGGAAACAATTCTCTACTCTGGACATCTGGAGGAAAACTCGCCACATACAGAAGGAGTAGGTATTCTGTTATCAACACAGGCCAAACGGGCTTTGATAAGATGGAAAGCAGAAGGTCCGCGACTAATATCAGCTGAATTCCGTTCACAGAAGAAAGACATTAACCTTCATGTTATGCAGGGAAATGCCCCCACCAATTATAAGGACCAGGAGGTGGAAGAGACTTTCTACAAAATGCTACAAAATACTGTTGATCAGGTTAGAAGAAAGGACATCTTGATTGTAATGGGAGACTTCAACGCTAAGGTAGGCAGTGACAATGTAGGCTTTGAAGAAATCATGGGGAAACACGGACTTGGAGTCAGAAAAGAAAATGGAGAACTGTTTATGGAAATATGTGCAACAAATGGGCTCATGATAGGAGGGACTGTTTTCCCACATAAACAGATACACAAAGAAACATGGGTGTCTCCAGATCAACAAACTGAAAACCAGATTGACCACATATGTGTCAACAAGAAATTCAGGAGATCAATAACGGATGTTAGAGTTTACAGGGGTGCAGACGTAGCTTCTGACCATCATCTGCTCATTTCAACAATCTGACTAAAACTAAAGCAAAGACAGGGGATTGTCAATCATAGGTGCCAGTACAAGGTGGAATTTCTTAGAGAGCCATCATAAAGTGAGGAGTTTAATGTAGCAGTTAAGAACAGGTTCCAAGTGTTGGAAACACTAGGCGAGGATAGCAGCGTGGAAGAAACATGGCAATCAATAAAAGAAGGCTGGACCACTGTGTGTCAAGAGGAACTGGGGAAACGGAAACGTGAGCACAAGCCTTGGATATCGGCCACCACTCTGAGGAAGATAGAAGACAGGAAAAAGAAAAAGGATCAGGTAAAGAGGAGCAAGACAAGAGCAGCCAAAGCAAAGGCCCCAGAAGAATACACCAAAGCAATGAAGGATATAAAAGTCAACATACAGAAAGACAAAAGAAACTATGTGCATGATCCGGCGTGCGAGGCAGAGGAAGCATCAGGGGCAGGAAACATGAGAGGACTGTATGAAACAACCAAGAAACTTGCAGGCAGATGCAGGAACGCAGATGTCCCAGTTCAGGATAAAGAGGGAAAGCTTCTCACAAATTAGAGATGGGCGGGAAGCGCTTTTTCCTTCCCGAGCGAGAAGACCGAGTAGCTGACCTATTTCTCGCCGAGACCGGTCCCGGGAACGAGAAACACTTCCCGTCTCGTGTCTCGAGTCTCGAGCAATGCTTCTCGTCTCGTGACCGATTTCTCTTCTCGCCCCGCAGTTCGAGCCGCTCATTCAGCGAGAAGGCCGGCCGTGGCCGAGATTTCTCTTCTCGCCCCACAGAACGAGCAACTTGTTTAGCGGGAAGGCCGGTCGTTGCGGGGATCTAAACTTAGAAACGAGGCTTGCCCTGGTGCGCAGGCGCAGGCGGTGAAGGAAGGTAGGGAGACGACCTAGGCCTAGGCCCTGATCAACTCCCCACTCGCCTCGTCTCGCCACCCTCTCCCCTCCCTTTCAGTTTCACACACAGGACGGCACTGTGATGGGTGGCACTGTCTGCGTTGTCATTTCTCGCCTCTCACTCTCTCACTCTCGTTACTGTTACTCGTTATGTCAAGCCAACGAGCAGTATCACGTCTCGGTACAGAGCAGTAGTTTGGTGCCCGGGAAGTGACGGGAAGGGCGTTTCCCGCAAGAAACGAGACTCGGCTCGTCTCGTGCCCGCCCCTATCACAAATCCAGATGAACAGAAAGAACGCTGGAAGGAGCACTTCAAAGAGCTACTGAACAGACCAAGGCCAGAAAAACAGTTTGACATTCCACCAGCAGAGATTGATCTGGAGGTGAGTGAAGAAAAGTCCAGTTTAGAGGAGATCAAGGAGGCGATAAGGCACCAGAAAGCAGGCAAGGCAGCCGGCCTAGATGGAATTCCCCCAGAAGTTTTCAAGGCGGATATCGACACTGCGGCAGGGATTCTTGATAGAATTATTGGCAAGAAATGGGATGGGGAAGAATTTCCACAGGATTGGAGAGAGGGATTGCTTGTGAAACTACCCAAGAAAGGAGACCTGCATGAGTGTAAAAAAATACAGAGGAATCATGCTCCTGTCCATTCCTGGGAAGATTTTAAGTTGTACCATACTGGAAAGACTGAAGGAAGCCGTGGATGCAAAACTAAGAGAGGAGCAGGCAGGATTTCGTAAAAAGAGATCATTTACAGATCAGATTGCAGCTTTGAGGATAATAGTGGAGCAGTCCACGTAATGGAACTCTTCCCTGTACGTTAACTTTGTTGACTACGAGAAAGCTTTTGACAGCCTAGATAGGGACTCAATATGGAAGCTCATGCGCCACTACGGAATACCAGACAAGTTCATAAGATTGATCTAGAAGATGTATGAGGGAATGAGCTGCAGTGTCTTACTTGGAAGGCAGCGGACAGACTCGTTCGAAGTGAAAACAGGAGTGAGACAGGGATGCCTGCTATCGCCTTTTCTCTTTTTATTAGCAGTGGATTGGATAATGAGACAGACAACAATAATCTACATATCATGAAATAAGATGATCTCCCAGTATGGCAAATTTCCCCTCAAAGACTTTCGAAGTTCCCCATCATCACATCCACTAGGAAAAAAAAAAAAAAAGAACAAAGCAGCTGAAGTACAACTAGCAAGCAAGCCAATCAGTGGACTCTTTTTTTTCACTGGCTACGAAAAGTTGCAGACAAAACAGGGGTCATGCATGTTGAGCATAGAGGGGATGTAGGCTTGTTTCATTGCAAGCTAACTGAGAGTGGCGAAGTTACCTGACTCCACTCTAGTACTAGAAGATATGATCTGTGAAGGAATGGTACTTTGAGGAAATACAACTCTTACTAACAGGTCCAACTAAGCAAAGATTTCTAATGCAGCAGAAGAAAGGTAAGATGAGTTTTGAGGAGAAAAAAGTTATCCATTGAGCTCAGCTTACTGAAGCCAGGCATGAGTGAGAGACTTATTTCTTTTTTCCCATGTATGATTTTAGCGCACATGGAGCCTTTCCTCTGCATAAATACAGATGTGCAGTACAGGAGTCCTGAAGATAGTGAATAACATGTTAGTTTATGGTTGTGTGTGTGTGTGTGTGTGTGTGATTGTGTATGTGTATGTATGCGTGTGAGTGTGCGTGCACAGATGTGTATGTGTGTGTGTATTTATTACTTAAACATGAAAGGCTGAGTAAAGTCTCAGCAGCATCCTGCAGTAAATAAGTTTACAGTATCTTTCATCATTCTTGCTTGACAGGTTCAAACTGGTTTACACCTTGGAGCTGAAGGAGGACTCTCTTGTTTCATCATTTTCAGTCCACAACACTGGTAATTAAACTTTCTGTCTTAAGACCACGTACATAACATTCAGCCTCTCACCAAAACCCTGAAAGGTAAACTTGCATCTTGATGGAAACACTCTACAACACGAGTCAAATCCCACTTATTTGGGCGTGACGTTTGATCCAAGACTAACGTGGCAAGCCCAAACAGAGAGGTGCAAAAGTAAAGGTAACAGAAGAACAGCACTGCTTAGAAAGTTGGCAGGGTCAGATTGGGGAGCAAACCACTCTGTCTTACGTGGCGCCTATGTTGGATATGTCCGCCCAGTCCTGGAATATGGTATCGCAGCGTGGGGAACAGCATCAGACAGCAACTTCCACAAAGTAGCGAGAATCCAGAATCGAAATCTACGGATCATCACGAGAGCAATGAGATCTACGCCCATTCATGCCATGGAGACACTAAATGGGTTAGAACCCCTAAACGACAGACGCGATCTGAAAGCGATTGTTCATCAGGAAAAGGTCAAAAGAATGCCAACCCACCCAATGAAGGATAGATCTTCAAAAAGCCAGAGCAAACGCTTAAAAAGAACAAGCTTCCTCCATATGGCCAGACACTCCAGCTCTGGAATTGAAATCTCTCTTGAAGAATCTCCAACCCCACTAGACCCGTGTCAAGTCCACCCTCTTCAGACTAGCCACCCCCCTCAAATTCGAGAGAACCTAGAAGAGCTTGGCACCAAATCTGAAGTCCCTCCTCCGATACTCAAGTCACTGACACTCGACTACCTGGACAGAAACTTTCCAAGCAACCGGTGGAATCGAGTTTACACAGATGAATCAGCAACTGATGCAGTCAGAAAAGGTGGTGGATGTATTTACGTAGAGTGGATAGATGGGTCAACAGAAAGCCATTCCATCCCTACAGGATCTCTATCTTCCAATTACAAAGCAGAAACATCAGCACTCGAAACAGCAGCCACCCTTCTCTTGAATCACCAAAAATCTGAAGCCAACACCGTCATCCTCACAGATGCCAAATATGTCTTACAAGCTCTCCAAAAGCCACAATCAGCTCAAGTACGACGACTCCTTTCACTCTTAAGTGATCTAAGCTCCCAAGCCCACTCAACTCTGCAGTGGATACCTGGTCACTGTGGCATTCATGGAAATGAAAAAGCAGACGATTTAGCTAAAGAAGGAGCCAAAATGATCCAGATTGAAGATGGCATGGATCTCTCAGAGTCAAAAACGCTAATAAAATCTACCTTAAGAAACAGATGAAAAAATCCCACCCTAAACACAACAGACGTGACCCCTACTACAGGCTAAATGGAGCAGACCAGGTCACAATCTTTTGACTACGTTGTGGCCACAACAGACTCAAACACCATATGCACACTAAATTAAAAGTGGAAGAGTCCACGATCTGTGAAAGTGGACACGACCAAGAGGATGCCAACCATGTCCTTCAGCACTGCCCACGCTTCGCTACTCTTTGTACACAGACGTGGCAGCATGTGACTTCCCTTGAGAGAAAGCTCTATTGCAGTCTCTCAGATTTGAAGCAGACTGCACAGTTTGTGCGCGACATCAGACTGACTGTCTAGTTGCTGTCATTGAGGAGGGGGAAACAAAAAAAGAAGCTCTGTGTTAAACAGAAAGTTTACTCTTTGTGTGCACGGTGCAGAAAATGCTTCTTTTTCAAATTTGTTATACTTTGTCTTCGTTCAATGTGAATATGTAACCTGAAAACCAGACTTGTGTAACGCCTCAGAAAATGACCAGGAGCAACTTCTAGTCCAGTTTTAGTTTGTTTGTGTTGCCAGATAGGATAAATATTTCCTTTTTTTGGACGATAAAGTACATCAGAAATATGGATAAATTTCATTTAAATATTTCTTCTTACTGTAAGTTGTTTATAGGGCAAAGTAATTCTTTGGTAAATGAATTTTCTTTTCATTTACCAGTTTGCTGTCCTAAGTTTCTTGAAGTAGCTATTTTTATTGATCCTGTAGATACCATTGTAGTCCTTTAAGTCTCACTCCGCCTCCATCTGTTTTTCTTTAATGTTTGAATTCAATTATATTCCACAGACAGTAAGAGTTTAGGTTTTACCTGCCTGATGCATACCTACTTTAGGGTAGCAGATATCACCAGTACGGCTGTCTCAGGACTCAAAGGACTTGCATTTACTGATAAGGTAATTTATTTAGTTTTGTTTTGAAAGAATTCTTAATAGTAGAACCTGGGCATCCACTATTTTCAGTGGCACTGGTTAATTTTAAGCATATATTCTTATTTGCAAATTGATTTTCGTAGTTGAAATTCTGGGGTAAGAATTTGAAATTCACAATGTGGATCTTGTTTGTCTCGGAACTGACTTACATCTATAGGAAAGTGTGTTAATAACAACTTTCCTAATATCAGTTTTTGTTCTAATAACAATTTTGTACTTTTTTTCAGGTTTGAAGACTTGTTCTGTAAAAATATTGAATTGTGAAATCGAAAGAAATGAATTTCTTTTATTTCTTAAGTTTTCATTTCTTTTTCTGTGCAAATGCTGTACTGTAACTAAGCTCATTTGATGACATGATAAAAGTAATATACATAATAATTTAGTGATCTAATCTTTGCATACTTTTCCTTCAAAAGGAAAGGAAATTGCCCATATAATCTTTGCATAAAATAAGCAAAATGTCAATGCATGGGTTGGTGACTCAATTAATTTTAACAAGTAGATGACAGATTTTTTTGTAAATTCATATGAAACTTTACACTTTATTATAGCGAAGAACATCATATTATTAATTTATCATTTTGAAGCTCTGAATTTGTTGTACTTTGGTATATTAGCTCGAGCACTTGTGTAAGCATAAATTTTGAAAACCATAAATTTTGATAATAGTGTTGTATGCTAATTCTCATTTACTTGATTTATATTACAGCTGAAAGATGGAAAACAGGAAAGGGAGACTCGTGATGAAGTCACAATTGATAGAAATTATGACAGGTATGTAACGCATTTTTGCTATGAGTGATTTCTACAACATCAAGTCTGAACTGAAACTATCATTTGATCTTTCTCTTGGCATTTTCTGTGAGTTTGGTGTAAACAGTATTACTGTTTTAGAATGCTGTCACAAAAGTTATGCATGGAAGGTTTTCGGTAGAAGGTTTTATATTTTAGAGTTGGGTCATTCTTAAATCTTTTCTTTTGTTGTTTACTGTGTCTGGAGCTTTAGAAAGCACCCATGAATTCACATTTCTACCTTGTTGAGCTAGCTGGATTGAATTTTATGTGAGGAAAAAGTATGGCGAAAGGAGACAAAATGCGATTGTAAGGTGGCCTATTTTGCATTATGGCCCAATAGATATGAATGAAGAACTCTTGTCTTGCAGTGTCACAAACAGTATCTTATAAGCACGTAAAAGCAACCTGTTTATCAAGGTTGAGTCATAATTTTTTTCCTTAGTTTTATTCTTATGAATTGTATGAGGACTTCTTTATCTCCAAAATTACTCCTTAAAATGTTTGTCCTTTGAATCCTCTGGAATTGGTTGTTGTGACAGCACTAGGGAAAATAATGAAATACAAAATTATTTATGCAATTTTTTTCATATACTGATCGTGTAAGTAGTAAGAGTTTTTAATGCTTAAATTATATTTCTTTCTTTAAATTTAAAACAGGGTGTACAAAAATGCACCAAAGACTATACAGATTGTGAGTGGAGGTAACCCCAGCAGGAAAATTGAACTTATTACGTTCAACCTTCCAGACATTGGTGAGTTGCTTAAGGCATACCAAAGTTCATATGCGATATATAATATATCATGATACCTAATCTTTATCCCTTAACCCTTTGAGCTGTGACCTCCTAAGGCTACCGTGCCCCTCTGCCTGAGCTCCTGAGTGATATATTACTAACATTCACATGATCGTCAGAATCACATTCCATATATCCCACCCAGGGTATTCATTGTCATTACCAGTATATAATTCAGAAAGATCTACAAAATAATCAATAACGTCTTGTGTAGTAAACGCTGTTTTCCATACACGTTTTGTCTCAGGCGGGCCGGGTTAGGGATGGGGTCTCTCTCCCCGTTGTACTGGTGGCTAGGCATACGGGCAGTTATACACACCACCGGTGTACCGGTGGCTAGGCATACGGGCAGTAATACACACCACCGGTGTACCGTGGCAAGGGCTCAGAGGGTTAAAGGACTTAAGTTGAGGGGATATATATTTTGATTTCAATTTCAGCTTCTTAATGAACATTAAATCTTTCAAATTTCAAAGTGTGGTCAGCCTCTCAAGATAATACAAAGAAGGATTCTAGAAATCTTTGTAGTACTACGCAACATTATAGTATATAGTATAAGTTAGATGTCTGAATCAGACACGAAAAGCAGGTAATGGGGCATCGTAAAAGTGTTACTGGCTATATTTTTATATTTGGCTGTGTGATGTTACTTTGACTATTAGTGAGTATTAGATTGGAATGTAGTGTTGTTGAAGTACTTTTAGATTAAAAGTCATTGAGGAGGAGGCATCATGGAATGGTCGATGCCCCCATTTGCAAAATAAACCTGTGTAGAGAGCTTTGTGAGAAAAATTGTTTTCATTTTGCGAGACAAATATGTGACAATACAATTGAGGTATTATAGAATGACTATTAAATGATTAGAAGAAATGGAGTGGTGACTTGATGAACTACTATAAATTTTGATGATATTTGAAGATGGTATCAGATATGTTCCATGACATTTGAGATTATTAAAAATCATGTTTGATGTGAGGTGAAAAGACTATATTTATACGAAAAAGATTATTATATAATTTTAAGACTCACATTTTTTAATATAGGTTTAATTTGAAAAAAGAAATAGATTTTGTGAAGGTCAAAGTGTTAACAGACTTTTCATCTACCTACAGTTGTGTGGAACCCATGGGAAGAAAAGGCGAAAGAGATGGGTGACTTTGATGACTTGGGATACAAAGAGATGATCTGTGTGGAGGCCGGCAAAGTGGATGAGCCTGTGACTCTGCCTGCTGGACAGCACTATGAGTGCAGTCAGACTTTCAAGTCTTTGTTGTAATGTGATTTATACGGACATGTTAGTTATTTAACTTTACAGGGCTATTTGCTTGTGCAATGACCATGTACGTAGGCTCCTCTTAATTTTGTTTTTCCTACGTGTATAATTCAGGCAACATTGCCTTTATTAGGGATATATGCAATTATAGGCAATAGGAAATCTACAATCTCATGATTTTTTTTGTAGGGAATTGTGAACTGCAATAAGCTGTTCTAGTCTTGTGCTTCATTTATTCATGGAGTCATTAAAGAGAAGCCTCTTGGAAAGTGGGCATTCTGATAAGGTTTACTCAGTGCTGGACTGTGTTAATGTTTCGTCTTCATTCATACATTCTTAGAAGGATTAATTCCTTACTTTTAAATTGTAACTGCTGTTGTCATTTATTTTTCGTGCAACTTCATTGTTACGATGGTTTATAGTTTATAAAACAATCAATTCTCATTGTTGTCACAAACTTAACTTTTTTCCTTCTAAAAATTGTTGAAAAATAAAGCGAGAAATGTTCTTAGCAGTCAGGGTGAGGATGATATAGTTGTTTGAGATGTCACTGATTTATGATTCTGACTTGTTAACTCAGTTATACTACTTGATGTATGAGTAGATACCCACCATAGTATCTTGCAACTTGTATTTATGATGTATTGAATGAAAAATATTTTAGCAAATTCAAACCATTTTTATATATTAAAGGTCCTAATTCCAGAAACCATTTTCAGTCTCTAATTTTATTTGCTGTTTGAATATTGCTATTTATTCTTCAATGATAAAACTTACAGTGGCAGACATTGGGTTACCATAATATAATAGTTTAATGGGACATGCAATAGAAAAATGATGTACTCAACCTGTCATCTCACAGCAATGACACATTTGTTTTTTCTTGTCTTTAATCTGGCAAATCTTGAATTTACTGCAATGTGGTATAGATTTGTTAGTTTATTATTTGATTTTTTAAAATTTCTTTTTGGTGCCATACTGTTTAGTTTTGTAGGACATGCTGTCAAACAGCCATCTCTGAATTCCAGTAAACTTATTGTGATGATCGGTACATGCCTGTTTTATTTCTATTTAGTTCAAGAGTGGGGAGTTTACTCATAATATGCTTGCTGTGGTGTATGTGCCTATGTAATGCTTTCGTATGCTAAAGAAATGTAATGTAATTGTACTTTGGTTAAATCTGCTTTTGTTGAGTAATATTTTCATCAAGGGAAGTTTTTAGCTGAGTGAACAACATACCGTAATTGATGTTTGGGGTCATACTATTGGTAATTGCTTGTTTTATGCTTTTTAAATTCGGTGCTTATATTTTGTTAATGTATAGTAAGACCACCGTAAAGACACTGTTGTGAAAAGTTGGACCAGTGAATGTTTTCTTAAAATGCTTACACAACACTTAGAATGCTAATTATTTGGTTTTAAGTGAATCCTAGACAGTAATTCCAACAGGCCATTTATTTCCTCGTTCCCATCTGAATTGTTGCTTTTCTCCACGGCTTTGAATATTTAGACTGATCGACCAATGCCATAAAATGTTCTCAATCACTGTGATGCCTTACACTCATGATGATGAGCACAAATAAAATACATGTAGGCAAATTATTGACTCTTTTGTTTTGCAAGCCACAGTGAGATTAGATATTCTCCTTACTCAAATCTTAGACTTAAATTTAGATGATTGTTGTGTTGATACACAAAAATAATATTTAAAATTACTTCCAATGTATGTAAATAACTATCATGTAGTTCCAGATAGTCACTACTTGGAAACCATTTTAACCAGAAACTTTTTTTCAGTACACTCCTAATGTGATGAGCACTTCAGATCATTAACAGAAACACTGCTTTGGATTGAACTTGATTGATTTTTAACATTCACTTTTTGATTTGCTTTCTCTATTCTGTCATCTTGACTTTTGACAAGGTTCAAGGTTGTGACTGGTAGGCTGGTTTTGAGAAGAAATCTATGCAGTATGACAATTATATTACAGTAGTCTCTACCTAAACGCACGGTGCCCGCGAAAGCTCCTTAGCGTGGGTTTATATGGAGCATGCGTTTACATGAACCTGTGCAAAAGGAGGAAGGGACACAGTCATCGAAATTCCTTGATGTTCAAGTGACCTCCCTTGGAGGTGGGGTTCATTTAAGTCACTTTGGCCGACCGATAATGTGACGAAACGTGACTGTTTTGTGAAGGATTCCCTGACTGCAGTTAAGAATACAAAGGAACAGATAGCCTAATAGGAAACTGTTGGTGATAGTCATAAAGACAACGGCCCAGCCACATGGCTTTCCAAGCGACCAGTCCCCGACTGTAAATTCAAGGACAACATTGGAATGATGAATGATAGATCTCTACATTCAGACAAACATTTCTCTTGTGATTCATTGAACAAGTACATTATAAGTTTTTCGAGCGCAGCTGATTAGGTTTACTTGACTAATCTTTAATCCTAAAGAAGAGGCCTATCTAGTGTTCTACAGCATTCACATGTGTTGCGCTTCAAAGGCCGAGGTCTAACTAAACACTACATTATTATGCAGTCGCCCAAACACCAGTCAGAGACCTTCTCTCAAACTTTCAATCAGTGACCAATCAAAAAACATTTCAACCCCCCCAACATTTCACCGACCTGTCCTAGACCTATATGTACTGTCTGTGGAAAGTGTGAAAACGTTGTCCATCACTCTCTTTGTTCGGCGTGAAGGGAAGTCTCACCAAATATCCTGTTTTCTAGGCTTGTCTTATGCAAGCTGTGCAGTTTGTAGCAAACATTTCACTTTGTCAAGCTTTACCTGTCGGCACGTTTCGTGGATTAAATCGTTCGTTTAGAGGGAGTGACCGTGTGTTTGTACATCTAGATTATAAAGTGAAAAACCCGTCATATGACGAAAGCGTGCAATTGAGCGGAGCGTGCTTTTGAATAGCGTGCGTTTAGGCAGAGACTACTGTTTATCATGATGTTTTCAACTGCAGTTGAAGGGAGTTAGTTTTTACCCTTGGAAATGCATTTTCTATCTTTTGCTCTGCATTCATTTCAATCTATCAGCTCAAAGTCCCACAAGCTTTTCTGAACAGAGAAAATACTACACGATACTTTTACTATAGTTTGTGATATCAAACCAGGCGCTCTGCTAATAAATGTGTATGAAAATTAAGTGTGTAAAATATTAATACCCACGGCGCAGAGTTCGATTGCATGTTATTTGGTTTGATTTTTAATACTGGAAATTCATGAAAGAGTCTTTAATCTATGGCATATTATTGAATTACTGTTCACTTAATTTTATAGTCACGTATGTCATACAACCATTACAAGCAAGGTTCAAGAAAAAGAATTGTTTAGATTGCCTTAAAAGATCCTGTGCTACTGCATTAAATTTGGCTGTGTGTGCATTTTTTCAAAAAGAAATGAGCATTATAATTATAATTGATCTTTTTCTCTGCTGTATTGAAAAGTACACATCCAGCATTTACTTTTAACATCGTTTTGACAAAAATCTGTAAGGAGTCTGAGTGGTGTCAAAATTGATAGGGGTTTCCTAATTTTATTCATAAATTTGTGCAGAAAATTATCATTTAGGTGAAAAAAAATCTTCAAAGTTAGGATGGATATCTATTTATTAGGTATCAGTATAGGATAAAAATAAATTCTCCAGCTGATCTCTGATTGAGCAAGGGCTGTCAGTTTGTATACGTTATGGCAACAATATTCAGAAAGATTGGCTGAGTTCACATCTGAACTCGATATATAATATATGCATTAAAAAACAAATATATTATTATGTACGAGCTAAAGAGCCTTGGGGAATCGTATATTATAGGAGAGAAGTACTAAAATAGAGCTACAGATTTATTAAGGTTTCATCTTTGCATGGTCATGCAGCATTTAAGAATTCTTTCCTTGGGGAGTGCTTAAGTTTTCATAATTATTTTTGCAACATGTATATTATGAGCTTAACCTCACTCACAATGAAATATATGTAGTCTTAGTCTTACCAAAAAAACCCCACATTATTGCACTACCCATGATTACCTTAAAGCAGCCAGAAAACTGGTACAGAGATAAGAAGTCTTGCAGAGAAACCCAAGCTGGTCAGAGAGCTGGGCAGGTTACCTGATGTATTGACATAATACATGTTAAACTCTCTCCCTCTCTCTTTCAACCCCCCGCCCCCCTCCTTTTCCTTTATCTCTTTAAAGTCTTTATCTCACAACTCCTTGTTATTGTGCAGCTGCAACTAAAGGGTTCCTGAAGAGGTCAGTCATAGCACTTACAGCTGTCTAATCTCTTTCTTGCCCTCCACATTTCAATTTTTTCCCCAAGTCCATTCACTGGCTTTTTCCCAAGCCCTGCGCTTCTTTTCTTTTTTTAAAATATATGTGTTTCTTATGACCATCTGTGAGTTCACTGCCATTTACTATGTTTCTTGAAGAAAGGTTTTAACCTAAACATTAGGTGTATATATGTTGTTGTTTTAGAGGTTTCAGATACTGCCACTTTGTAATTTCTCACAAAATGAAAGTGCATGATTTATGATAGTGGTTCTAGAATCTAAATCAAAGTCACATAAACAGTGTTAACAGTTCCAGGGTCACAGTGATCAAGTGGAGGCAGATTCAAACAAAGTCAAGCTATAATATAACAACATTAAATTAGGTGGTCACTGAGACGTACATTTTTTTAAAAATGCAGGCGTTTCTATGCACCCTTCAACACAAATTAGACCATAATTTAAGAGGTGGGCTTCGACCCTGCCTGTCAGGGCTAACCTGGGCCAAGACTGAAACAACATCTCAACAGAAAGACCAAGGTACTCTTTAAAAGTTCTCCCCTCTTGTGAGTCAAACTTGGTTCTCCTGCATGTGACAGTGAAGCACTTAATCGCATCACAGATATCAGTGACTGGAATGCTTGCATGAATAAAACATGCTCACTATTTGTAAAATCGATTGAAACGCTGATGACTTACAATAGTGCTTGTGGACAAGAATTGATTCTAGTTTGGTTTATATTTTGTGATAATAAAATAAATCATATGCTTTGAATGTATACAAGCCATTAAAAACAAATTTCAATGAAGTATTTTTTTCAGGTAATAATTTGTGTCTGTAGAAGTAGAATATAATAGAAACAGAGATAAACAATAGCACAGAAAAATTGTAAATTGCCCAAGGTATCCTCCCACCACCCACTGAACACAAATGAAATTACATCATACAGGCAGAGCCCCTGGACAAGAGATCCTTCCAAACATGAGAGAAAAGTGTACAGAAAACATCAGGGCACAACAAATATAGTCTCTTCACCCTCTCTCAGACTTAGAGATGGTTGTGAAATTCACAGGTCCTGCCTCAATCAATTAATCACACAACTTGCAGGGTTTAAAAAGGCATACCATATCTCTTTCATGTGCCCTTTGCATTAATACAAGAAAAAACACAAATAGTACAACAAATTTAACTAGAAAGCAACAAACATCATAGTCTCTTAGAATTTATTGATAAATCCAATCATATAGATAAAGAACAAAAGTCTGCTGTAAAGTGAAGACATATTTTTCTGTCTAAAACTGTAGATGTGCTACACATGGCAACGATATAAAAAGAATCTAAGGAGAAAAAGGGTACAGCTATGTGCACATTGTTGGCAATCAACTGAGCAGCACCTGTACCAAAGTAAACAAATCCACTGGCCAGTCCACAAAAAAAGTTATCACATAAGACCTACACTAACGAAACAAACCCACATTTCTACAGTTATCACAGTTGTACAAGAATTCTCAAGAGTCCTTCATGGAAACAAGTGAAAACGCCCCCAATACAATACTGAGGCAATCAAAAAAGCACCTAGTAGACTCAAAACCAACATAACCATACTTAACTGAAATGTGTGTCTTTTACATCCGTCTGAAAAAGTTAACAGAACTGGCAATATGAAATATTAACTACTCAACACGTTACTGAGTCAACTTCATTGAAATAGCACGACTTATGAGTAACAACCATATTGCACGATAGCAAAATTAAATATGATCTAAATTCTGATTGAAAAATGGCCAGAACAAAAAAATGGACAAAGCAAAACTTCAGGATTGTTCTTGAACAAGCATTGCTGTTCTTATCGTTTCCATGAAAATATAATAAAAAAACATATCATTTTAACTCCTGGTTTTATCATGAAAAATATTTTTCTCTTAATCAAAATAACTAGCTTGGCAAAAAATAAAGAGAACCAATTCATTTTGTAGGTTAAGTGGTTAAGAAACATGCTTGCATTAAAGCCCATGGAGATTTCAGCATTTTTATTTCACACAGAAATGTTTCTGCCTGACCTTAAAACATCCCAACACTTTTCATCGCTTTTCTAATTCCACAGAAATATGTCAAAACTTTTTATTCAAATTAAACCTTACGACACTCAACAAAAATTCAAACATAACACTCTCACAACTCTTATTACTTATCATGACAAAAATGCTGGCTACAAAGTCAACAACCTTCCCCAGATTATGCTGTTTGATTACTGAGGTTCTCCAAGAATCGAGTTAGAGTTCGAGTTGGGCGCCCTGAAAACACAAACAGTGATAAATTCAGTTTTGAATTACAAACAAGTCTCCAACACAAAAATACACAAGTAAATACAATGTAGACCGCTTAAACTGAAATATGTGGGATAGACAGATTTTTAAAAGTTCAGCTGGGTTTTTGGTTTAGAGAGCCTGCTCATATAGAAGAAAGAAAAATCTGGGACTTTATTTTCTTTCAGTTCAACCCTGTTTTCAGATTAGATTCGGTTTGAGCAGACTCCACTGCAAATCCCAAAATCTTACAAATCACCATTGTGGTAGGGAAGAATAAGATTGAGTCATTCAAATTGGAAACAGATATCAATTCAGAATAAACTACACTTTTCTAACAGAGCATACGATTATCATGTTGGTCATTCATAAGAGGTGAATAATTCTAAAATTAGATAAAAGACTATGCAACCTTAAAAATGTTTAAATGTGCATCGCAAAGTTTTTTTTGAATACTCTACTAGATCGCTTCAATGTCAAGAAACAAGCTAAGTGGATAATGTAATTGATGTTGGGGTAATACTAACAAATAATTAAAGATACAAACAAATAAAGTGGAGGAAACAGAGAGAGGGGGAAAGAGAGAGGGGGGATGGAGAGAGAGTGAGAGAAAGAGAGAGAGAGAAAGAGAGAGAGAGAAAGAGAGAGAGAGAAAGAAAGAGAGAGAGAGAGAGAGAGACCTATTTTAGCCTGTGGTTAACAAAAATTAACATGATGAAAAATTAAAGATGGAGAGGAATAGCAGATATAAATATATGTACAAAAGAAATAACAACTTAGTGCGGGTACCTGCAAGACTCTTAAGTACCAAAATAGATGGAGCTCACAGAAACAGAAAGAGGGAGGATTAAAAGAAACTTGCCTGACATTCCCTGCCCAAGGTAAGGCACTTGATTTGTGTTCATCATGACTCCAGCCATGTCAACATGCACCCACTTGTCTGTTGTGACGAACTCCTGTGATTCATAAAGTACCATACAAACATTAAGTCTCTATTGAATTACCAGCCTCATAACTTGACCAGTGTGGAATTTGGTTTGGAACCCAAATATTCATACAAATGTCTACCTTTTATTTTTTTTCTGATATCTATGCGGAGTATAAAAAGATCCATATATAAAGACCATGAAGAACATAATAGGTTGAATTCAATAGCTTCAAAGTGAAAAACGGTAACTGGTGTCTTGCCCATTACATCCGGTCAGTTTGCCTTATACTCGGCATGTATTATTACAATTGCAAGTGAATGATTTTTTAAAAAAAACATTCTAGGAAACAAGAAGCCTTAAAGCTTCACATGGCTCATGTGAATAAGAAAATTTAGTGCCTGAATGAGAATAATAATAATAAATAGCATTTATACTGCGCATTTCCATTTCCTAAAAGATGCTCAATGCGCATTACAATGAAAAAGACATCACATCTTAAAAATTAATCGACAAGTGTGTACGTAAAACAAAGTATTATACATATATTATAAACGCATATGTGTAAAATTTTATACCAGAAAAACAGTCTCGCAGTGAGGTTGAAAATGTGTTCACTAAAAATATACAATGCAACAAAAATTCACGAACAGTCAAAATAAAGTTGAAACGTGAGTAACTAGAAACATTCATTAAAACATTAATTCTATACAGATAGAAAAACATTTCCGTTCTCTCTCTCTCTCTCTCTCTCTCCATCTCTCTCTCTCTTTTCTCTCTCTTTTCTCTCTCTATCTCTCTCTTTTTCTCTCTCTCATTCTCACTCGCTATTTCTTCAGTCTCACAGTCTGGCATACACATGCATATATATCACAGTACATCATAGTGACAGGTATGCTTTTGTGAATAAAAAATGCTTCAGCTGATTTTTGAAAATGGAAATTGTTGGGGCAGAATCATTGGCTTTAAGTACTTTAAGCTTTTCAGAAAAGAATACATGATGGAGTGTCTACCAGGCACCATACACTCTGCAGGTTTATTTCATTAATTTCAAATTAAGTACAGTAAATAATGGAATAGACAAAGGCTACTAGACTGCTTAGTTAAAGAGAAGCTTTACCGTAAATAAGTTGATCATTTAAAAACTCACTGCATTCCTTAAAGTTTAGTTTCGTACCTGAAGAAATGCTGCAGCTGTACAGCTTCCTGCTTCTCTCTTGCCACCAATGTTATTCAGATCAGCCAAGTCAGATGTGGTCATGATCTTGGTGTAATACTTGAACAAAGGCATTCGCCACACACGATCTCCAGTCACTTTGCCGGCCTACACAAAGCAAAAGACATATATTCAGAGGTGCCAAGTAGATACCCAAAAAATCTTGAACTTTTTGGACCTCCATGGAAACACAACATGTACAGGGACTCCAAATCTATGGATCATATTGTCTTATAATATAATATTAATACACCTTGAATTTACAAAAGTGCAGGGAGGGGGGAGAGAAAGAGAGAGAGAGAGGGGGGGGGGGAGAGACAAATAGATAGAGAAAGACAGATAGTAATATAAAGCATTCACAGGTGCTATACATGACCAAGAAGCTCTTCTTGCTGTACTGTCAGATGAAAAAATCCAGTCATTCAAGAACATGAATGTATGAAAGGATAGCAGCAATCAATAAGGCAGTGAAACTTCCAACAAGGATCTACCATTGTATCCACCACCAAGATCATTTAATATTCCGAAGAATGAAATTGTAACACACAGCACAGAATATGTGATGCTTGAATATACTCAGTACAAATAGAGAGATTTCTACATACATTGAGATAAAATTAAACTTGTGGAGAGCAGCATTTCATTATGAACCCACACACACCAAACAGGAACAGTAAGGACACGGAAAATTCAGGATACAAAATTTGTTTGCCAGTGAGTAGTGAGCAGGAGTGACACCAAATGAATTATAATAAGTTTCTGTAAGAATTTCTTACATCATTGAGCGTTTGCCAGATGAAATCAGATTTTGTGTATGCAGCAGCTGCCGTACTTCCAAGAGCAACAACTACAGCACCTAAAAGAAGGGAAAAAAATCTATGAGGCACACAGTACATTAACTAATGAGTACACAGCTAACTGAACAAAAGAAATCCAAACAGTAAGTCCTTGGCCCTAGTTAGTAGCTCATTGTGAAAGAATTTTGGCTATCATAAATCAGCCTCTTAACTCCCCGTTCCAACAACACAGTTTTCAAAAGCTCAGGAAGTCACATGGAAAACAACTTTAACCTTGCACCATGTCTCATATTCATTGTGCAAACACATGGTTAGCACTGTGGCTCAGTACAAAGTTATTTATCCCAATTGTAAAATCATCTATAAAGACTTCTTCCTTCAAAAGTCAAAGCAAGATGAACAACAAAATCAGCCCTATGTTTATTGTACTTTATACTGAGGCTTAAGTAAAATATCTACATAAAAAAGTAGGCCACTTTCATCAAACTGTTGTTGAGAGAAATCATAAACTCTTTTTCTA